TGCTCAGCACCGAGGAGGTCGACAGCAGCAGCTGCGGAGGCGTAGGAGGAGGTAAGAGGGGAGGGGGAGCACCCCTCGAAGAGGGGAGTGCAGAGAGTACCACGAGCAGCACCTACAGCTGGAATGTTCTTCTCGGCTGCTAGGAGGTGCTTCTCGAGGTCGTCGACAGTGAGAGAATGGGGGTCAAGGGCGAGAAAGTGATCCCTGACTGAGCGAAGAGTGTCAGGGAGGCGGGTGATGAGGAAGTAGAGAGTAAAGTACATCGGGGGGTGGTTCTCTGCGAGGAACTCGGCTGGAAGGGCGGCACGAAGGCAAGTGTCACTAGCGCGTAGGTGAGAGATGAGGTCCTCAGCGGTGGTAAACGAGGACAGGTCGGGGAACAGGTAGGGTAGCATAAGTCGACCGAGGGCTGCAGTGGCCGGGGAAGAGTAGCGGGCAACTACAGCTTCGTACAGTGCCTTGGCAATCTTGTGCTGGCTAAAATGCGCTCGCTCTGTGATCGGCAGATGGTTGCGAATAGCTAGGCGCGCAGCAGCATCGCGGGTCTGCCACTGGGAGCGGGCTAGAGCAGTCTCAGTGTCAGCAGGAGCAACGGCAGTGCCAGACACGTAATCGAACAGGGAAACACCGTCCTTGGCATCAGTCAGAAGGAACAGTTGCAGGTCGTCAAGCCAGGTGGGAAACTCTACTGGGCGACCGTCAGGATCGAACTCGAGCACATTAAGTGTCGCCATAGTAGCAGTGCAGGCAAGGCAGCTCAAGGCAGGCAGGCATTCAAGGCAGGCAGGCTCTCTTGTCAGGCAGGCACTCAAGGCAGGCTCTCCAGGCAGGTTAAGACAGGCAGGCGCGCGGCTCACGGGCGGCACACTGGCAGGGCACGCGTGGCTAAGGGCTGCGCGTGGCTGTGGGCTGCGTGTGGCTGCTGGCTGCGCGTGGTGACGGGCTGCGCGCGGCTGTGGGCTGCGCGCGGCTTCTGGCTGCGCGTGGCGACGGGCGGCGCGCGGCGGGGCCTAAGCGGGCTGCGCGCGGGCTGCACACCGGAGGAGGCGACGCGCGGGGCCGGCGGCAGGCTGCGCGGGCGGCTGACGTGGCGCGCGGGGCCGAAAACGGGCCTAAACGGGCCTAAACGGGCCGCGCGCGGGCTGCTTAAGTGGCGCGCGCGGGAAAAAAAAAGGGGCCGCGCGCGTGCAGCCGAGGCGCGCGCGGGCAGTAGGCAAGGCAGGCAGGCAAGTGAGGTAACGTGGTAACGGGTGGGCCCTAATCTTAGGTCCTAAAGACCTCTAGGCTCTAGATACCATCTTAGAATCTAGGCATGAGTGAAGTTGACTATCGAGAGGATGGTACAAGGAGAAAACCCTAAGGGGTTATACCCCACAGTGTCTACCCCACTACAGCCTACCCACAAATATAACATATGCATATCTTTGACACACCGATACTGTTCACACCGAAGAAAGACGGAGGGTTTCGCATGTGTATTAACTACAGAGCACTGAACAGGGTTACAGTCAAGTCGCGATATCCCATTCCCCGCGCCGACGAACTGATAGATCAACTGAGAACAGCACGGGTCTTTTCGAAAATTGATTTACGGGGAGGTTACCACCAGATCCGGGTCGAACCATCAGACTGCGCCAAGACAGCATTTAGGACTAGGTATGGGTCATTCGAGTACACAGTGATGCCTTTCGGGCTGACCAACGCACCGGCGACATTCCAGATGACCATGAACCAGGCGTTTAGGCCGCTCTTAGATAAATGCGTGATAGTTTACCTCGACGACATCCTCGTCTACAGTCGCGATAAGCAGCAGCACTTAACAGATCTGGAAGCAGTATTAAAAATCTTAGATGAGCACCGGCTACTGACCAAGGGTTCCAAGTGCGAGTTCTTTCAGGACAGGCTAGAGTTTTTGGGACATGTTATTTCGGAGGCTGGGGTTGAAATTGACCCAAAGAAGCTGGACACGGTAAAAGCCTGGCACCCCCCGACGAATATCACGGAGTTGCAGAGTTTTTTGGAATTCGTCAATTACGTGCGTCGGTTCGTCCCCGACATGGCACGGTTAACAGCGCCGCTGACGGATTTGCTACGGAAGGGGGTCACTTTTACGTGGGGGGAGAAAGAGCATGCTGCCTTCTCTGCCCTGAAAAATGTTCTCTGTTCACCGCCCGTACTGCGCATCGCCGACCCACACCGACCATTTGAAGTAGTTACAGACGCAAGCGACATCGCCATCGGAGCCGTACTGCTACAGGATTTCGGCAGCGGCCTACAGCCGCCCGAGAAAAATTGCATACGAATCACGAAAACTGCATCCGCCCGAGAAAAAGTACCCGATACACGACCGCGAAATGCTCGCGATCGTGCACGCATTCAAAGTGTGGCGCTGTTACTTGACCGGCGCAGACGTGACAGTACGGACAGATCATAAGTCGCTACAGTACCTCCGCGCACAGCCCCACCTCAACCCACGACAGATCCGCTGGCTCGATTTCCTCGAGTCCAATTTTCACTACACGGTCACCTACAAAAAGGGGGCGTCCAACATCGCTGACGCACTGACCCGCCCTACTGCCCAAATCCACGCGATACTACTTGCCCAGACCAGTCCACTACTGACAGGCCTATTTACCCACGGATACCAGACAGACCCGTTCTTCACCGGAGGAAATTCGCAGCAGTTCGCAGCAGCAAAGGGAGTTTATTATGTAAAAGCAGGCACTGACCGCATCTGGGTACCAGGGTACACGCTACTACGGGAATTACTGCTACAGGAGGCACACGACGGAGTCACCTCAGGCCACTTCGGGGTAGAGAAAACACGGCAGCAGCTGCAGCGGTATTATTACTGGCCCGAAATGTTGACCGACGTACAGCGGCACGTGGCATCGTGTCCCACTTGCCAGCTCATGAAATCATCACGGAAACGGCCGGCAGGACAGTTGCAGCCGATACCACCCCCAGAGCGTGCTTGGCAGCAGGTGACGATGGACTTCGTCACGGGGTTACCGGCTGGAGCAAGTGGGAACAACGCGATCCTGGTCATCGTCGATCGGCTGACGAAAATGGCACATTTCGCAGCCTGCAAGAAATCGATCACAGCCAAAGAAACAGCCCGCCTCTTCATCTCCACCGTCGTTCGACTGCATGGGATACCAGCAGCAATCATCAGCGATCGTGACACGAAATTCACCAGCAAGTTCTGGCGGAACCTGTGGCAGCAGTTCGGCACGCGACTACAGTTTAGTTCTTCGTACCACCCCGAGACCGACGGACAGACAGAAAGGACAAACCAGACCATGGAACAGCTCATCCGAGCCACGTGCGACGACCCGACCACCTAGGAACAGCAACTGCCACTCATCGAGTTCGCGTACAACAACTCGCCATCCGCCACGACCCAACAGTCACCGTTTTATCTGAACTACGGACAAGACCCCACAGTACCAATGATCCCGAATCCCGACAACCCAGTCCCACGCGCACAACAGTTCGCAGAAATACTGCAAGCAGCACGGACCCGAGCAGCAGAAGCAATAAAAAAATCAAACATCATCGCTAAGCGCAACGCCGACCGACATCGCCGCCCCGTCACTTATCAACCCGACGACCTGATATTACTCGACACTCAAAACCTCCGCCTGCCCATCACCCCAAAACTCCGCCCCCGATATTGCGGGCCATTTCGCATCAGCCACATGATCACACCCGTCACCGCCCATCTCCTCCTCCCTGCTGACTGGTACGTCAGCCCGTCATTTCACGTCAGCCTGCTTCGCCCATACGTACCATCCACCAGCCAACTGCCTCGCAACCGCCCCGCCAGCATGACACGACCGCCGACAAAGCCAATCATCACGCCCGAAAAAATACTGAGCCACCGAGTACGTGACCCACGGGGAGCCCGCAAGACCGAATTCCTGATCCGCTGGAAAGACCGCACGCCCACCGAAGACAACTGGGTTCCCCTGGATAGAGTTGAGAATCACCCTGTCCTAACTGAGTATCTGCGCAGCCGAAACTTTCGCGATGTACACGCGCTCTCGTAAGAGGGGCCTCCTTGGGGAGGGGGGTAGTGTAAGGAAAATTCCTTTTCCTTACTTCGCGTCCCTGCTTACCGCGTACACAGGGCTCTCCCTAGGGTCTGAGGGATGTCTGATGAATCAGACGGGCCCCCCGGGCAAAAAAAAGTTTTTGTCTGATCCTGACTGGACGATCAGATGACGCAAAAAAAAACTGTCTGAAATCTCAGAAAAACAGACAAAAATGTCTGATAGCGAGGACCCTGCGCGTACATGCCTGTTCCCGCCATCGGCACCCACTCGTGAACGTTACCCGCTCGCGACACTCGCCTCGACTACGACTCCCGCCACCGTTCACGATGCGACCCAACCTCACGGTTCGGTTGGTAACCCGCGCTCCGGACCTCCGCCTCGACATTTCCCCAACCTCGGCGCTAGGCCCGTCGCGCACCCCATTTTTACGCATGACCGTTACCACTGTAGTTTCGCTATATATTCTTCTCTCATGCCTTAGCTCATTGTACTCTTGCTTCGATAGTGCAATCTTCGTTCGTTCACTCAATTGCACTCGTTACAGGAATCAAATGGTAGGGGAGCTGACGTTTAGGACGGTATTTGCCTCGTGTCGCACTATCAGGTCAGAGGGTGAGAGCGCAATCCCCCACGGATTCGTTTCGATTGGGGGTAATCATCGCCACAAAGGATGATATGTGGCTCTCGTGCCCTCCTTTACCCAGCAAATTCGGGATCTAGGGTTTCGAGTTTGCAAGTGCGGAGCTTGTTACGACTTCTCACACGAGGCGCCATACTTGCGTGCTGATTCTCGTGCACGACCATCTTCCAGGACCCGACTTGTTGTAGCATCGGCGCACTTACTCATTTTGCAGCTAGTTTCTCGCATCGCGCTGCTTGATAACCAGCTGGTGGCTTCTAGCTGATTAAAGCACTATGGCCGAGCCGTTGTCACAGGAGCCCATGCACTCACAGGGTCTATACGGCGAGCGCGATTCCACTCAAGGTCGAGGCGCCGGCGACCCGCTGCGATTTCTGGAGTTTTCGACGCAGGGAGAGGACGCGGAGTACGAGTACGCCACGCAGTTCCACGATCTCAGCCAGCCGTCGCGCCCGGATGGCGTCGGGAGCGTCGGATGGGTGGACTCCCACTTAGGACCGTCGAATTCCGCGGATCCCGCAGACGCGTTACGAGCGAAAGCAGCGTATAGGAAGGACGGCGCCGCGGGTCAGGCCGGCGCGTTCGCGGAAAACGGGCTGTCGGCGCGGGATGACGCAGCGCGAGCGGGGTTGGACGCGAGCGTGGCCGGCGCAGCGGGTGGGAACGGCGTGGCAGCGGCGGATGCGCTGAGCGCGACGATGAACGATCTGAGCTTCGACGAGATGGGCGAGGAGGACGCCATGGATTTCCCCTCCACGGACTTGCCGGAGCACGCGTGCAAGTACTGCGGCATCCATAACCCCGCGTGCGTCGTGCGCTGCAACTTTCCCACGTGCCGCAAATGGTTCTGTAATTCCCGCGGCAACACGTCCGGCTCGCACATCGTTAACCACCTCGTAAGCGCCTTTCCTGCCCGTCTCGCTCCTGCCGACTCACCACCCTAGCGCGGTCGCGCATCAAACCTTGATTGTTTCGGAACCTGGTCCGTTGTCTTCGCAAATCTCATCTGTTTCTCTATTTTAAGACGTGCGCTGACGCTGGTAGGGTCGTGCGCCGTCATTTCGCGGGTAGGACCCCCTCGCGCTCTAGTGCCGTGACCGTCTGGCATCAATTGAGCTGTGGGTCCCCTCTGAACCCCACGCTGCACACTGCAGGTGCGCGCGAAGCACAAGGAGGTGTGCCTGCACCGGGACAGCCCGCTGGGCGAAACCATCCTCGAGTGTTACAACTGCGGGTGTCGCAACGCGTTCCTGCTGGGGTTCATCCCGGCCAAGGCGGAGTCGGTGGTGGTGCTGCTGTGCCGCGAGCCGTGCCTGTCCGTGAACGGGCTCAAGGACATGAACTGGGACCTGCTGCAGTGGCAGCCGCTCATCCACGACCGCTGCTTCCTCTCCTGGCTCGTCAAGGTGCTCCTCACTCAAACCCCTCTTGCCCCTTGCGCCTGGACTCTTGCCTCTTGCCGCTCGCCCCGTGCCCCTTGCTTTTCGCCCCTCGCTCCTCTCCGCTCGCCCCTCAACCTTCGCTTCTCTCAACTTTCTTTTCGCCCCTCACCCCTCGCCCATCACCCCGCATCGCTCACCCCCCACCTTCGCCTCATTTCATGCCATTCTCCTTCTGCCTCCGCTGTTCCACCTCTGCACGCGCCACACCTCGCGTGGTTCTCACTCACGTGCCATCACGGCTCTCGAGTGCAGGTGCCATCAGAGCAGGAGCAGCTGCGCGCGCGGCACCTGAGCGCGCAGGCAGTGAATCGCCTGGAGGAGCTGTGGAAGACCAACCCCACCGCCTCTCTCGACGACCTTGACAAGCCCGGCGTGGACGACGAGCCGCAGCCCGTGGCTCTCAAATACGAGGACGCTTACCAGGTGGGCGCAAGGGCAGGGAGGAGGGGGGCAGGGGGTTGTGCGAGGGGACTGGCAGAATAGCACGCTGCGCTGCATGTTCTTGGGTTTCATCGGGCGCAGCTTTTGCCTTGTTCTGACTAGTAGTTTGGTCTTCATTCCACATAACCAACCCCCCTTGTGCCCACGTGCAGTACCAAAACGTGTTTGGCCCGTTGGTGAAGCTGGAGGCGGATTACGACAAGGTGAGCCACCGCACCACACCTGCTGCTCATGCCACCTGCTGCTGCTCACGCCAATCGCGTTTGTGGACGCTTCTCGCTTTGTCCATTCACCTCTCGTGTTGCATGTATGCCGTGAGTCTCTCTCTGCACGCGCGCTTCACTGTGTCTGGCCTGCCATGGTGCACGTTGACTGCGGGGGTGCAGATGATGAAGGAGGCGCAGACCAAGGACAACATCACTGTGCGGTGGGACGTGGGGCTCAACAAGAAGAGGGTCGCCTACTTCGTCTTCCCCAAGGTGCCTCTCCTTCCTTCCCCACGTCATCCGCTCGCCCCTTGAGTCATCGTGCTCCTTCAACAACTACACCTGTTGTTGAAGCTCAATTTTCTGTATTTACTTATGTGCGTGTTAATGGGCATGGGTGTGCTTATGCATGCCTGTGTGCGTGTGCGTGTGCGTGTGCATGTGTGAGGGTGGGCATGCGTGTGTGTGAGTGCAGGAGGAGAGTGAGCTTCGTCTGGTGCCAGGAGATGAGCTGCGGTTGAAGTACCCAGGGGATCCCATCCACCCCGCATGGCAGTCCGTGGGCCACGTGGTGAGCCCTCCTCCCTTACCCATCATCCACTGGGGCAGAAGCAGAGAGGGCAGGTGTACCATGTAGCCATGCAGGTACCACTTGGTGGGATGCGGTTTGAGAAATGACGTTTTGCGCGTTCGGCTATCTCAAATGCTATGGGGGGAAGAGGGATGATAGTTTTCGAACGAGAACACGGTGGAGGAAGAAGGGTGGGGGATGGGGGAAGGTGGGGGGGGGGGGGGGGTGAGGTAAAGCCCTTTTCTATATAGCGGATGAAAGATGGCATGTGGAAATGGATGGGCGGGGGGGTAACCGTTGCGGAGGAAGAAGGAGAAGGAGAGCGATAGGAGCAGGTTTCAATGGTTGGAGTAGGAGACGAGACGGACAAGGAAATGGGCAACATAGGACCTTTCCGCCGCCTCCTCTTTCAATCACAGTTTCGTTAGGCATGCTCAAGTGATGCGTTTGTCCTTCCAATTCTGCTCACTGCCTGACTTGCCGTTCCCTTTGGTCATTCCACCACCACCCCTCCCTCTCCCTCTCCCTCGTGCCCCTCAGATCAAGCTAACGCCGCAGGAGGAGGTGGCGGTGGAGCTGCGAGCAGGCCAGGTGAGCTGCTGCGCCCTGCATGCATGCATTCATGCATGCCAGGTAGCGCTAACCATAACCACCATTCCCACTCATTCCCCTCTTGCTCACTTATGCTTCCCCGGCTTGCATCTGCAATTTTCCACCCACTATACCGTTTCTAACAATCCTGTCCTGGTTGCGCGTGCGTGCTTGTGTGCATGGGGGGCGAGCAGGGGGCGCCAGTGGAGGTGACGCACGGGTTCAGTGTGGACTTTGTGTGGAAGAGCACATCGTTTGACCGCATGCAGGCCGCCATGAAGCTCTTTGCTGTTGATGAAACCTCCGTCTCTGGGTCAGCGCTCCCCTGCCTCCGTTCCACCACACACTCTCCTCTTCCCACCACGCCCTCCAGTTTAAACCCCTTTCTTCTCATTCGCCTCTTCAGTTCTCTCAACCCCCCTTCCCCCTTTCTTCATTCTGTCCGTCGTTCAGTGTGCTTTCGATTCGGCCCGTGCCATCACATGTCTCGTGTAGAAAGTAGATTTTTGAGACTCCCCCCTTCCCCCTTTCTTCATTCTGTCCGTCGTTCAGTGTGCTTTCGATTCGGCCCGTGCCATCACATGTCTCGCCCAGCCTTGTGTCTCACCCACCCACCCCACCCACCCCCTGCGCCGTCCCTGTGCTGCCCGCCCCACAGGTTCATCTACCACCGGCTGCTGGGCCACGATGTGGAGCCGCACACGGTGCGCAACGTCATGCCCAAGCGCTTTGGAGCGCCAGGCCTGCCAGAACTCAACCACTCGCAGGTGCGCCCGGGCCACCGTGCAGCTCCCTCCAGGCCTTGTGTTGTTGGTTGGGACAGGTTGCTCTGCTGTGTTGCATGCAGTGGCTTGGATTGCACTCTTCTTGTAGGCAACTCCTTGGCGTCTCGCCGTGCACGGCCTTGTGTTGTGTTGGTGTGTGCGTGTGCGTGGTTTTGGGGGAGGGGATTCGCATGCGGATTCCTGGTTATTTGCGTGTCTGCTTGTGCATGTGTGTGCTGGGAAAGGGGCGGGGGTGGTGTGGCTGCATGGTGGAGGATGCATGGGGCGGAGGTGGTGTGGCGCATGTGTGCATGTGCATGTGTGTGGCATGAGAGTGCACCATGCATGGCGGTGTGCACCCACACAGATCTCAGCGGTGAAGAGTGTGCTGCAGAAGCCGCTGAGTCTCATCCAGGGCCCGCCAGGCACGGGCAAGACGGTCACGTCAGCAGCCATAGTGTACCACTTGGCACGGCAGGAGCAGGGGCAGGTGCTGGTGTGCGCGCCCAGCAACGTCGCGGTGGATCAGCTGGCGGAGAAGATCAGCATCACGGGCATCAAGGTACCGCACCGCACTGCACTCTTGCTGCCTCTTGGGGGGTTGTGGGACCATTGCTTTGATGGTGGGTTGACGGTGGGAAGGGGTGGGGGCAGGCAGCATGGTGGTTGGGACAGTCAGTTTTGGTGGCTTAAGACGGTGGCTGGCTGATGGCCACACCGCCGCTGATGGCATGCATGCCAGAGTACCAAAGGCCCGGCCTTGCGGCATGGCATTAAGGGTGTCCTCATGATGTGTGTGTGTGTGTGTGTGTGTGTGTGTGTGTGTGTGTGTGTGTGTGTGTGTGTGTGTGTGTGTGTGTGTGTGTGTGTGTGTGTGTGTGTGTGTGTGTGTGTGTGCTGCTGCTGCTGCCACCAGGTGGTGCGGCTGTGTGCCAAGTCAAGGGAGAGTGTGAGCTCGCCTGTGGAGCATCTCACCCTGCACCACCAGGTACGCCCCTGCCCCCTGCCCCCTGCTTGCTGCCTGCTTCCCCTGCACTGCTGCCAACGTCTCTTTAGCATCCCACTCTTGCGCTCTGTAGTCTCTCCCCATGTGCATCATACTGCTACTGCTGCCTGTGAGGGTGATTACTACGTACTTCCAATCTGTGGGCGTTACCATGCTCGCTAATCTCTCCGCATGTGCGTCATACTGCTGCGGGTGCCTGTGTGGGCGTCAGGTGCGCAATCTGGAGGAGGCGGAGAAGGGCGAGCTGCACAAGCTCATGATGCTCAAGGAGGAACAGGGTAACACAACACACCCATGCCTCGCTTCTCTTGCCGCCACATGCAATCCACCCGTCCATTTCTACCCTCCATCCCCACTCCAGCTGCATACTGCCGCTTTCCCCCGCTCGTAGTCCCCTCTCCCGCCCTCACTGCACACATGTGTGCCTGCGTGTGCCCCCTGTGGCCCCTGTTCCTGCGCATGCGTGTGAGCGTGAGCAGGGGAGCTGTCGAGTGCGGATGAGAAGAAGTTCAAGGCGTTGAAGCGCGTGGCGGAGAGGGAGATCTGTCAGAGCGCCGATGTCATCTGCACCACCTGTGTCGGTGCAGGGGACCCGCGCCTCTCCAACTTCCGCTTCCGACAGGTGCGCGGCGCCCCTGCCATGGCGGTTACATGCGATGTAACTGTGTTGCCACATGCATTGGTCTCGATTCCATGGAAGCTCCCATGGCGGTGACATGCTTGTGTAAATACGTCTGACAGCGGATGAAGTGTTAAAACACGTGTGCGTGTGTGCTTGCGCCGGGCTGTGCATCACGGCAGGTGCTGATCGATGAGTCAACGCAGGCCACGGAGCCCGAGTGCCTCATTCCCCTCGTCATGGGTGCCAAACAGGTGCGCCCCTGCCCTCCTTGCACCGCTTGCCTCTGTGCCCCAGCTTTTTCATGCCGTGCCATGCACGAGTGCGTGTGAACCCGCACATATGCCTTGCCCCTCAATGCAATCAGTTATCCTTGTGTGCATGCATGTGTGTGTGTGTATGTGCATGGGCGCGTGCGTGTATGTGTGTGCGTGTGCATATGTGCGTGTGTGTGAGCATTGCAGGTGGTGTTGGTGGGCGACCACTGTCAGCTGGGTCCAGTCATCATGTGCAAGAAGGCAGCCAGGGCGGGCCTCGCCCAGTCGCTCTTTGAGCGCCTCGTGCTGCTCGCTGTCAAGCCCATTCGCCTGCAGGTACGCCACCTGCCCTTGCACTCCGCCTAAGCCCCACTGCTTTCGCCTTTGCAACACACCACACCACCTTTACAACCCCTTCACCCTCCTTCACACTTGTCGTGACCACCCCTTCCTCGCCCCTTCCCTCAACCCAACACTTGCGCTCCCCCCCCCGCCCTGTCCGCTTTCCTGTATAGGTATCCTCTCACTCTGCCTCTCTCTCTCTCTCTGCATCTCCCGCTCTCTTCCCCTCCCTCATTCCCACTTTTCCTCTTCTCTATCCGCCCCACGCGCATGCCCACCAGGTGCAGTACCGCATGCACCCGTGTCTATCTGAGTTCCCCAGCAACACCTTCTACGAGGGCACGCTGCAGAACGGAGTGGCGGACGCCGACCGCTGCCTGCCCGGCATCGACTTCCCCTGGCCCGTGCCCAACCGCCCCATGATGTTCTATGTGCAGGTGCGTGTGTATGCATGCCTGCCTGCTGCAACGTGCAGACCATGCTAGCAGCTACCCATGCATGGGCCCCATCATGGGTTATGGATCCGTGCATATGCCTTTCGTTCGTTTGCTGCATGACTGCTTCAGTTGCTCACCAGCCCACCTGTGACCTCACTTCTTGACTTGCCTAGGAAGTTGTTCTCATCATTACTTTTCCCTCTCTGTACATCTCCCTCTCTGTCCTGTATGCTGTGTGTGTCTGGGTGGCGTGTGAGTGCAGCTGGGGCAAGAGGAGATGAGTGCGAGTGGCACGTCGTACCTGAACCGCTGCGAGGCCTCGCATGTGGAGAAGGTCGTCACGCTCTTCCTGCGCAACGGATGCATGCCGCACCAGGTGGGCTGTTGAGATCTCTCAACACATGTCAATCCACCTGGGCTGCTCTTGCCCAGTCCCTGTGTGGTCTGCTCGGTGCACCACACCTCTCACCCTCTAGCATGTGTTTCATCAGCCCTCGATGCGAGTGGACATCCTCTCTCACCCCCCCATTGCTGTTATGTCTTCATGCTGTCACCTTTTCTCTCTCACCATCCCTATGCCACTGTCTCAACCCATGGCAGATAGGGGTGATCACGCCGTACGAGGGGCAGCGCGCGTACATTGTGACGCACATGGCGCGCAACGGCCCTCTGCGCCAGCAGCTCTACAAGGACATTGAGGTGGGTGGGCTCCCTCACAGGGTTGGAACGAACACAAGGGGTGTTTGTGCAATCTCATGGTTGTATATGCTGTGTGCTCGCACGGTTGTTACACTCAAAACTCGATACAGCGGTGTTGTTGACGAATGCGTGGTCTCATTCTCATTCTCACCGGTGGTGCTGCTGCTGTGGTGGTGCGTGGGTGTGCGTGGGTGTGCGTGGGTGGGTGCAGGTGGCGAGTGTGGATTCATTTCAAGGCCGTGAGAAGGATCTCATCATCCTGTCGTGCGTGCGCAGCAACGAGCATCAGGTCACTCTCCTCCCACCCACACCCAACGCATCTGCTGGCCTGCTTTACCTTTTCCCTGCAGCCATGCATGACTCTTTTCTCCACTGATGCTTCTCCTTTGCACACCAAACAAGCGCACTCTCAACTACATTTTCTACTGCATCCTTTTGCTCGCCCGCACGCTGCTTCTCCTTACCCTCAACCCTTTTGCAGGGCATTGGGTTCCTGAACGACCCGCGGCGGTTGAACGTGGCGTTGACGAGGGCCAAGTACGGGGTGGTGCTGCTGGGCAACGCTAAGGTGCTCTCCAAGCAGCCGCTCTGGAACCTGCTGCTCACGCACTTCAAGGTCACCCCCTCCTCCTCTCTTCCTTGTCCTCCCTGCTTCCGCCCCGCACCTCTCCTTTGCTCCTGCTTGTCCTGTCGCTTGCCTGCACTGGTCCCTGACAGTTTTTCCCTGCTCAATTGGTCTCTGTGTTGGTCGTGTGTAGCATGCGATCTTGGTGGCTCGTTGCTCAAATAGTGTTGCTTGCTGTCGCCCGTGCCATGACCACTGCTGTGTGGGCAGGAGAGGGAGGCGCTAGTGGAGGGGCCGCTCACGAACCTCAACCAGAGCATGGTTCAGTTCCACAAGCCCTCTAAGGTGCTGCTCCGCTCCCCCACCTCTGCTCGCCCACCTCCGCTCTCCCACCTCCACTGCTCCACCCGCCCGTGGCTTCCTCGCCTCCCTGCACGTCCCTCCCTCTCTCAATCTTCACGCATTTCCGCTTGAATGCCTTGTACTGGTGCTTGCTTTCCATGCATTGGGGGATAACAGTGAGCGGCATCTCTCTACTTTCCGCAACATGCTTCTCACTAACACCTTTCCCCTATGCCCCCTTGCCTTCCCCCTGCCACCACTCCCCTGCGACTCCCCCTTCCCCCGTCCCGTCCCTGTGCCTGGTCAGCCGCACTTTGACCGGCGCATGCCATCATCAGGCATGGTGGCGCTGGGAGCACCAGAGCCCTTCGTCCCCACGCTCACACCCACCGTGCCCTCCATGCCCTCGCACGCCCGCCCCTACCCGCCCTCGCGCGGCCCACCCTTCCCCCCATCCGCCCGTCCCATGCCTCCTGTCGGCATGCCCGGCCCCTCCTACCCTGCCTCCGGCCCCTTCCCCCCCCACCTCCCCAACGGCTTCCCCCGCGGCGGGCCCCCCTCTGCCTCCCCCCACGGCCCCATTCCCCCACGCATGCCCCTGCCTGCTTTTCCTCTGGGCGCATATGCTCAGCCCTACGCCATTCCCACGCGCCCCGCACTGGGGCAGGCAGCGCAGCAGGTGGCTGTGGGTCCGCAGGGCGGGGGGAGGGGCTTTGGCATGGGCAGAGGCGCAGGGGGGAGGGGAGGAGGCGGAGGCGGAGGGAGGGGGCTGGGAGTGGTGGCGGATGGGAGGGGCGAGGCAGGGGGGCGAGGGAGAGGCATGGATGGAGGGATTTCGCAACAGGAGATGCTCACGCAGGTGGGTGGTAGGGAACCAGACCAGCAGTGTGTATGTGCGTTGCTGTCTGTAGCCTCTCTGCTTGCTCCCCTGCTGCCTGCGCTGCTTGCAGCCTTGCACCAAACTCATTCATCTCTCTCCATGTGCCCTGTGCTTTCTGCTAGTGCGCTGCTGCATGAGTGTCCGCTTGCAGCGCCAGCCAGCTTGCCCTGTATGGCTTGTCCCGTGCAGCTTACTCTGTGCGTTCCGTTTCTGTGAATGGTGTGTATGTGTGTCTGTCCTCCCCCCATGTGCACGGCACGCCCATGCAACAGGCGCCCAGCAGCAGTCAGGGTGGGTCTGCAGGCGCGCCGCTCAGCCAGGCGCCACACAACGACCTCTTCCCCCTCACCATGTCACAGGTGCCGCCCTCCACCGCTCCGCTACTCGTTCGTCCGTTCCCCTGCAGTCGCCCCTCTTACCTTGCTCGTGCCGCCCCATCACACACACTCTGTTCTAACATCCGTTCATGCATAGATTTCCTTAGAATGCTGCTCTCTCTGGCTGAACCACTTTCTCCATCCCCACTGCCCCACTCACCACTCCCATCCCCATCCACCCTCTCTCACCACCGCACCCCTCCCCTCCCCACACATTGCCCCCCACGTGTGCTGCTGTGTGTGCGTGGCAGGACTTCCTAGGGGACGATTTCAACTCGCAGGGCTCGCTGGGGTTCGCCTCCTTCAACACGCAGGCATGCCACCCTTGCCCCCTCCCACCTGCTCCCTGCACTGCTCCTCACATCCTCGTCCCAACCCCCCCTTTCTTGCTGCACCTGCATGTGTTGCCTCGCACTTGCATGCTTCTCGTTTGCCTGCCTGCAGCAAGCATGGTGCACAGCACCCCCCTCTGCTGCTGCATGATTCGCCCACCATCTTTGCCAGTAATCCTTCTCCCTTCCCACTGAATGCGTCTGTCGTGGCCTAACACCCATATCCGATGTGTGCTGTGTTGTGTGTGCATGCCAACGCGTGCCATGTGCGCCACCTGTGAATGTGTGTGACAGGGCGGGTTCTCCCACCCATCATCGGACCTCATGCCCCAGCAGCGCCACCAGCAGCACATGGGTGTGGGGCAGGCTGCCTCTGGCGGGGGGAAGCAGGAGCAGGGGGGCAGCATGCAGTCGCAGTACTCTCAGGGCTCCAACCTGCCTGCTGACCTCATGACCCAGGTACGGTGCTGCCATGCGCACATGCCCATGTGCTCACATGCTCACATGCCCGCATGCCCACTCACATGTCCACATCCTTACATCCTCCCCTTTAACATCCCATTTCGGCATAACTGGGAGGGGAGGTAGGTAGTTCGGTTGACCTACAGCAGCACATGCATCTCGTGCATTCCAGCACAGCCTGGTACCCATGCATGGCACGTGTCAAATCTGTGTATTCTCATCTTCCTCCTCCTCCTTGCATGCCATGCATAATTTAACCCCTTACTCTCTCCCTTCCCTCCCACCTCACCACCCCTGCCCTCTCTCCCCACTTGCGTTGCACCACACCCTCCCTGCGGCATGTCCCTGTGCACCTAGCAGGGCTTCAACTATGCACACATGCCCGATGCGTCACTCGGCTTCGGCCTCCCCTCGCGCCCTCTCTCGCAGTCGCAGCAGCCTGGGCCCTTCTCGCACCACCCAGCAGATGGCCCCTCCACACAGCACTTCGCCTCTCAGGTATCCCCTCTTGGAAGTTTCCCTTACTGCCTGTTTTTTTTTGTGCTGGGGCACTCTCACCATGCCGGAGCACTGCCAGGTCCCATCACATGTTATGTCGTGTGTTATCTCGTGTTAGGTCTCTCCTTGTTTCTGTGTGTGTGTGCATACTCTGCGAGTGCTTCACATTCTTCCCGTGTCCACCGCACTACATCTCTGGCAGGCGTTTGGTAGCAACCAGCTGTTCACGCAGCCCTACTCGCACTTCACCCAGCAGCAGCCATCACAGCAGCAGCAGAGGCAGGGGTCGTATAACGGGTAGAATCGCAGGGTGCAATGTGAGGGTGAGATTGACATCCGTGTGCTACAAGTAAGGGGAGATTGGTACTCAAGGATGCACAGGGAAAAGGAGGGCAGGAGAGGGCAGAGGAGTTTGGGCAGTGGCAGGGATGGTGGTGCCGCCTGGAGCACTGGCTTCAGCTGGGTTGACCCCCAACCATCATGCGCAGCACAGCAAGGCACACCACATCTGCTGTTCAGATTTCATTGCTCCTCACAGCACCTGCTGCTGCTGCTGCTGTTGCTGCTGCTGCTGCTACATCTGCTGCTGCTCCTGCTTCTGCTGCACGACACATGCTGTCGTTGCGCACACCACTGGGCCTGCTGCTTCTGTTGCTGCTGTTCCTGCTGCTCCACGTGCTGCCGCACCCTGTGTTGTGCTGTGCTGGCCTGGGGTCATGCGGTGTGATGGAGTCATGGATGGTGCGAGGGGAGAGCAAGGGGTCATCGGTTGGGAGTGAGAAATGTGGTTGATGTGGCCTCTTCTCTCTGTTGGGCAGCTTACGTTTTTGGCTGCAGCAGTCGGTGCAGGCATCGGTGGCAACAGGAAGCAGCAGCAGGGGCAGTATCAGGAGCAGCACAGGAGCAGCAGGAGGGCAGCGGCAGGAGCAGCGGCAGGAGGTGTGGCAGGAGCAGCAGCAGCAGTGGCAGTGGGACAGTGCAAAGCAGTGGCATGCGTGTAGCAGCAGAGACAGCAGCATGATGAGGTTAACGAGCAGCAGCAGGTGGCAGAGAGGCACAGGCATGCAGAGTCATGTGATGTGAGCAGCACTTGCTGCATGCAGTTTTCTGGTCTGTGTGGGGCACAGGCATGCTGAAAGAATTTACCATTGTATTTTGAGGCACACAGTGCAAACCACCAGTAATATGCATGACTGGCACTTGCCGTATCTGTAGAGTTTCTCTTTAGTATAGAGGTCTACATGCTGGTTGAGTGAGAACAGTTGTGGTTTTCCAATGACGTTCGACGAGAGGTAGAGAAATTTGTCAGCCCTTTCCAAGAGGATGAACTAGTCCTTGGATATTAAATATGGTAGCTCAAGAACAATTACCATAGCATGTGCATGTACACAAGATGCATGATTAGTGGGGTACTTCGAATGCGCCAACTTATTGTCACAATATGTTCATGCACCATATCCTGTACTGGTAGTGGTTAACTCTCAACCATTGCAAGTTCAAAGAACAAGGTTGATGCAAAGTCACATTGAGTGCAAAAATTGGTCCTACAAAGATTCAAAACTTGAATACCGGGGTGCTGCAGATTAGCATGAGCCGCACAGCATCTACTATCTCCTTCCTACTAGCAATCCTCGAACGAACCACCAACAGCATCCCCATCACCTGCATCATCACCTGCCCATGTCACCAAACAGAACACACAGAAAACCCACAAAAAAGCCAAGCCTAACAGCCTGTGCCCTAAGCCTCGTCCACCATCTCATCGCCCTTGTTGCCAAACAAGAAGCCACCTGCAAGGAAGTAGCGCAGCAGCGGCACGAGGCCGATGAGCGCCATCTGCAGCTGCTCGTTGGACGTGGCTCGCAGGGAGATGGTGCCCGCTGCACGGTTGTTCACATTCGCTCGGAACAGCAGATTCGTCTTGCCTGCAGTGGCCTGCGCCTGCACGTTCGCTCCCACCACTAGATCGCCCTGGGGAGAGGAAGGCGACAGAGGTTGAACGAACGGGAAGGGGAGGACAGAGAGGAAAGCATATGTCATGCACCAATGTAGGATGAACCACCACGTAACATGGTCCGAGGACCAAGTAGACGCAAAACGGTGAAAAAGGGGAGAAAAGCATGGACAAGACACAGATGACGGCTGGAAGGGCAGCATGTGGATGTGACTGTGACTACTGACTGACCTGCCAGTCCATGAGGGTAAGCCCGAGCACTCCCATGGTGCGATCCAGTGGATGGTCGGGATGCCGCACCTGGTGCACCAGTGGGGCAGCAGCAGCACACGAGTGGAAACAAGGCATACTGATAAGACCAAAGGATCAACGACTGGACATTACAGCCACTTTCAAAATCATTGCAGGTGCGTTATACTGCGCAATGTACGGTGTCTGTGGGTAGTTTGTGCAAGTAATGCGTTGCAGCGCCAAGTGGCTGGCACTGGATTCACCGTCCTTGCCACGAAACATCCAATCACCCAGCACCCATCCATCCCCACACGCACCATCCTATCCCACTATAACCTCAACTGCGGTGACGTGCCACAGCAGGGCGCGCCAGTCTCTCCCCCCTCCCACCCACACCACATGGCACGTGAGTGCGCAGCTTACCTGCACCTCGCAGTTAGCCCCCCTAGCCATGAGGCGCCCGCAACGCACAAAGCCTGCTGCGGCATTGAGACTCACGCTCTTGCCCACCAGCAACCGGTCCTCCACCTGTCGTACCATGCATCGGTGTGGAGGGGGGGGAGGGGGGTGGGGGGGGGGGGAGAAGTGAAACAGGGATGCATGAGGCGTGGGGATGAGGAAGTAGGTTGGGAAGAGAGAAGTCAGTGACCAAGATTGGTGCATCTGACACTTCAGAGGATGTCCAAGGGTAGGTGAGAACAGGAGGGTGATCAACCAACTGTGAATGGGACAACACTTGAGTCTTATTCTTTTCAACTTGCTTGCCTTAGTCTAAGTGTGAAAAAAAAAGGCTCTTGGTTAGACGATGTGTATAAAAGGTTTATTGTGTCACTCAATCCAACTTCATGTGCCATCAATTTGTTATCTGCATCCCAACACCATCCCCAAACACCCGTGCCACGCCAATCCTTCCATACCCACCACCACACTCACCCCAACAAATTCCCCATGGGACCACCCATCGTCCCGTTAATATTTCCCCCCCTTCCCCCCCATCGTTTCTCTTTCCACCCCAGCGCAAGCGCTCACCTTGAGGCCAGTGGTGAGGCCACTGCCATCGTAGGTGGTGAAGGAGATGCCAGCGGTGGTGCGGTTGTGTGGGAACGTGCGGAAGCGGATCTCGGAGCGCAGCGTGTACGCAAGGCTGCTGCCCACGGACTGCACGTCTAACCCCGCCGTGGTGACGGGCGCGTGCAGGAACGACGTGCCGTGCCGCATGGACGCTGCTGCCTCCAGTGCCACCGTGCAGTCCTTCTTGTCCTTGGTGATCTGCACGCATCACATGGGTTGGTGCACAGCACCAGGAGGAGAGATGGCGGGAGAGCGAAGGCACGGGATGTGGCGACCCGGGATGGAGGTGGGGAGGTAGGTGGGGAGGTAAGGTGGCTTCGAGAGACACGTTCTAACGACAAAAAACATCGGCGGTTTGTGATTTACAAAGGTGGTGAGGAAGGGAGGTGATGCGGTACACAAAAACGAAATCAGGCAAGCGTGTGGGAACGGAGCTTGCAAGATGATAGGGGCAGTGGAAGAACGAGCGGGGGAGTGACAGGGCAGAAGGGTAGAGGAGGGTGGGGAGCAAGGGGCGTACCTGGCCGGAGACGGAGGCGGGGATCTTGTCGCGGATGGCGAAGGCCTTCTCCATTTGGAAACCGTCGTACCCCGTGTCGTGGTCCCACCCGTGCTGCTCCAACATGGGCCGCACCAACCACTGTTGGGAGGAGGGACCGGGGCAAAAGAAAACACCCAAGTCAGACAGGTGTCAAGTGTTAACCCTCATGCAAGGAGGGCAACAGCGAGAGCCCTTAGACAAAACCCAGTTACAAAAAAAAGCGCGCAACACCCCTCACAAGCAGCGCACCCCCCTGACAAGCAGCGCGGCCCCAGCCCTCTCCCAGCGCACCTGGTTGGCAGTCTCGATGTAGCGGTAGCGGTGGCTGGGCTGGTCGCTGTCGAACGAGGGCGGCAGGTCCAGGTCGGGCATGGGCACGGGCACGTTGCTGGGGCCCGCGTCCTCCTCCGCGCCCTCCTCGCCCTCCGCCCCCTTGGCCTTCTCTGCGCCCTCCTCCTCCACGTCCTCGCCCGCCTCCAGCTTCCGCCTCAGCTCCCTGCGTCTCCTCAGCTCCTCCCTCCACTGCTTCTTCTACTCGCGCCAAAGCCACATACGGACCAGAGGGGGGAAATGCGGTCAGCAAACGCGACTACCGAAAGCACACGCGGAGCAGAGAATTACAGAGCGAGGAAGAACATGCAGACCTGCCAGAGACAGACAGCACCGCCCATCAGCACTAAAACCCTCAGCCTCCCAAACACATCCCCCCACCCCGACCCAACAGCCCACGTCCCTTCCCCACAGCCGTGTCGTCTCGTGCGTCTCACCTGGAAGAGCCGCTCCCTGTCCGCGAGCTCCTCGTAGTACTCCCGCCGCTGCGCGGGCTCCAGCTGCTGCAGCTCCGCCTTGGTGAGGCGGCGGAAGGGCGGCAGCGCGTCAAAGTCCACCTCGTCGTCCTCGCCCTCGCTGTCGCTGCTCTCGTCGTACTCGTCGTCGTCGCCCATCTGCTGCTCCTCCGGCAGCCGCAGCGGCTGCCTCGGGCCCAGCAGCGACGACAGCAGGTACGGCAGCGGCGGCATGCGCGAGCGGCCGCGCTGGGCGCGCGCGGACGCAGGGCCGCCGATTTCAAGCACGGAGTTGGCCTCAGAAAGGCACTTGGAGGCGAAGCAGAGCAGCAGCAGCTGCGGGCGCCACACCTGGCCGTTGGGCAGCACGCGGTCGCCCGTGCGGTTGGTGCGGCAGGCGGGGTGGTTCTCCGCCAGCGCCACGGGGTTCAGCAGCCGCATGTCGCCCGACGCCTGGCGGATCGTCTGCTGCACCACGTGCGACCGCTGCGCCACGTACATCTCGTAGCTCATGGGGCGCCCGCTGCTGTCCTCAGGAGGCGCGGAGGACGCGTGCGTGAGCACAACAATCGTGTTCATCCAGACAGCAGGGCCGAACGTGTCGCTAATAGGGCGCACGAGTTCCATGTCGCCGTAATCGCGCGCCTGCACGTCCAGGCGGTCAACGTACAGCACGATGTCGGGCTGCTTGCCGCGCAGGTACCGCTTGGCGGAGCGCAGGATCTTCTGGTTGCGCCGCATGTCCGCCACGGACGGGTGCAGCCCCGGCACGTCCACCACCTTCACGTTCACGCCGTGCACGCGCCCCGTCACCTCGCGCACGCGCGTTGTCGCGGGCAGCTCCGCAGGAGCGGCATCCGCAGGGGGGGTGGTGCCGAGGAGCGAGTGAATGGTGGCGGTTTTACCGACGCCCGTCTTGCCCACCACCATGACCGTCAGCCCGAAGTCTAGGTCCGAGTCCGCGCCTTCCGTCGCATCCAGCTCAGCTGCGCGCTCGCGCGCGCGGTCGAGGCGCATGGCGCTGCCCATGGCGCCGCCAATGATGCGCACGCCGCCGCTGCCCGCGCGCGAGGAGGTCTCCTGGAACTTCTCCGCGAGCTCCAGGCGGTAGAGCACCTGCGCCACCACCACGTTGCTGTGCGACTGCCCCAGCCGCGCAGCCAGGCGCAGCAGCTTCACGCGCACAGAGTTCACCTTCTCCGCGCGCGGATTGAGCGGGGCATCTGGCGCTGCCCCCGCAGCAGAGGGGTCGCCCATAGCGCCTGTCATGCCCTGCCGCGCAAGCACAGCCGCGGCCTGCCGAGCCACCGAGTCAACTCCTGCGGAGCCTTCCGAGCCAGAGTCGGCGGATCGGGTGGAGGACTGCGGGCGAGCTGGGAGGTCGAGCGAGCCGTTGAGCCCGCGAGGGGCAGACATACGCGGGGGGAGGTTGATCCCGCCAGCCGCGCTGCCGCCCGCCGCCCCCTGCACCACAGCTTCCATGTCCCTCACGAGGGCATCCAGAGAGGCAGACACCCCCGCGCCTTCCTCGTCGTCCTCGTCGTCGTCCTCCTCCTCCCCATCCACCCACTCCTCCGCCTCGCTGTCGTCACTGTCGTCATCATCCACGTCCTCCACATCCACGCGACTCGCATCCGCGATGGCTTGTTGCAGCCGCGCCTGAATGTCGCTCTCCACTTCGGCTGCTGCACTAGTCTGCGCTTCAGCTTCGCCAGCAGCAGCGGCAACAGCGGTGACTGTTTCTTCAACGGTAGCGGACGCAGTTTCTGTGACAATCTCCGTCTCCGCCTCAACACTGGTGGTCGAAGTCACCGTGGTGGTGGTGGTTGTGGTCGTGGTTTCGGCTGTGCTAACAGTTTCAGAAGCTGCGGCGGTTTCGGTCGTTGCTGTCACTGCTACCGTCGCAGCTGCGGCGGCAACAGACTCGCTGACATCAGCAGCAGCTGCAACGAGTTCAGCGGCGGCAGCATCAGCCGTCGCACTACCTTCCACTTCCACTTGCTCCACCACAGATACCGACGATGTCTCACTCGCCACCTCCGTTACAACCGTCTCTGTTACGGTCGCCGTGACCTGTTCAACTGCAGCTGTCTCTGTCACGGTTTCCGCCACCGTTTCCGTGACTGTTTCCGTCACAGCTACGCTAGTAACCTCCTCTTCTCCTTCTTCAAAAACCTCAGCCTCCCCGTCAGCATCCATCTCCGCACTCACAACAGGCACCGAAAAATCTTCCGAGTCCCCTGTTACCTTTGCCTTGGGAATCATGAAATCCTCCGCCGCTGGGGATGTTCCAAAACTGCCCACCGACCCCTCAGCACGCTCGTTCGCGCTATCAAACGACTCGTTATCGTCATCGTCAGAATCGTCGGAACCATCTGTGTCCCCCTCGGCGCTCAACGGAGCACGGATCGAACCGCCGTCCTGATCCTTCTCAGACGCGTCTGGAGCCGCTTCTCCTCCCTCGCCCGCATCCGAGCTACTGTTATCGCCGTCATCCGCAACGGCACGCGGCGGAGCCACGTCTGACTGCTCCTCGCCGGCCTCCGCGCCCTCGCCGTCCTGCGGGCCCCGGTTGGCGCTGAAACTCAAGTAACGGCCGATGGACTGCATTCTGCTGGGACGAGAGACGGACAGGGAGGGAGTGAATGCAACGACGCGTGTCGCAGGCGATCATTAAAAGGACCACAAAAAAGCAGCAGCACCCACTGAAGACACTCTCACATGAAAAGATTGCACTAAACTGGCTGCAGATGCTAGTCAAATACTCTTGAGAATTTCGTGATCTCGGGAAAGGAAGACCAAACCAAGCGATCACCCGAGAGTGCGAACGAAAACACACAAACAGATAAGCAACATGAACAAGCTATCTACAAGCAACTGCAAAACCCTTCGTCCTACCCTTCTCCTATATCATATAAGTTGTCCTCCCCCAAAAAAAAAACACCACGAAGGAACCAAAAGTGTTTCAGATGTTGTAAGCACATGCGCAAGTAGGGCGATCCAGGAAAACGGTTGTTGCTAGACGCGAGCAGGAACGCAGCTGCCATACCGTGGACATGATCCTAACTACTTCCATTACCTGAAGGAAGATCGGCGATCGCCTTCAGAAACAAAGACTCAGTCGCCTTCGCCCAAGCGCGTACTACCAGTCTCTATCAGAGAGCCAGCGGCAACGTAATCGACGTCGCTCGTTCTGCTGACCAGGCTTTCTCAGCACTGCTAAACGGCGTCCCTCTGAGAAGTGCTCAGAAAAAAAGGACCCAGAAATAGGTCTCGGAGGAGTTATTGAGGGTGGTTCTAGATGATGGCTACACCTCACGCACTCAAATGCACACCATACCACACCACACCTCACCTCCCCTCGGAAAGCCCGAACGCCTGGCTCGGCGTGGAGTTCGCCAGACCATGCAGGCAGGGCAGACCCCTCGATTTCAAAATGTGACAAGGGAGCCTTGGGCGCTGGTATGATGCGATAAGGGGTTCAGAATTGCGTGCATGACGTGGCACTGTACTACTGCTCCGGTAGCCACATAGGCTCGCAAAAGTGGAGGTTCGGATGTTGCAATTTCATCATAATCTGCCACGCAGGTCAACCCATGCACGAAGGTGGGAAAGCGAGGGAGGGTTTTGATGAATGGGTTGCAAGGGCTTTGGCTCAGGTGAACATTACAAGCCCAATATAAGAATATGGTATAGTTTATCCAAGACATGATGTCATGTGGCTCTAAGACATGATGCATTTTCTCAGCATGTCACATTCCTGGGCGACACAATGTCAGAATCGCGCCACTTTAGTCAGTCATGTGCATTGCATTGCCTTGCCTGTCCTAGATCAACATCCTGGTATACCAGAGAGAATGGTACATATCTGTAAACATTATCCTTTAAGCAACGTGAAAATGATTATGTTGAGTGCTAGCCTCCACCTCCCCAAGGAGGTCAATCAACGCTGCTGCAACTTTCTCTGGAGCATATCTCTCAACCATGTCCCTGCGAGCTGCACACCCCTTCCTCCTTCCACCTGCCCTATCAGGCAACACTCCTCGCATCAACTTGCAGAGCTCTGAAACAGACGGCTCCGCCCACAAATGGCCTTGAAATGGCCCATCGGGAACCTCTGAGAGATGGTCTACAGGTAGTGGGTACCCATTCTCCTCGTTCAAATACTCTGTTATGCCGGACCAGTTAGTAGCAATCACCGGCAGCCCTGATGCCATGGCTTCCACGATTGGCCGGCCCCATCCCTCCCCTCTCGTGGGCAAGACAAAACAATCCGCTGCCCGAAAAACGTTGGGCAAATCAGATTGCGCCACATGCTCCGAGCGCACATAGAGCGACGGCCAGCCCTCTGGTGGTTCAGAAACGTTAGCAGAGTGGAGAAAGGAGGCTATCTTGGCTGCAAAGTGGGAGTCGGTGTGGTAGGCGTTGGTGACGAGGTAGAGCAGCACAGGGTCCGATGCAGTGAACGTGGACAGGTAGGCCCTCAGCAGCACGTCCCACCCCTTCCTCTGCTCCCACTTGAACATGCTCAGAAACACAAATGGCCGCGTGCCACTCCCACCGCCCTCTCCTCCTGGCGCCGACAACCCGTCATTTTGCATGCCACCATCCTCAATCATGCCGCCACCTTCACCACACCAGTCGCCCCGACCCCCATCCCCACTCCCACTTCTCCCCGCATCACTCTCATCATCCAGCCCTCCCTCCTCATCCTTCCCTTGATCCCCCATCTCCCCATCACCGTCACGTGCAGCTGCCAGCCGGTCTGGGCCGAGAACAAGCTCAGCAGGAGGGAGGGCGGGGCGGAGGGCGGGGGAGAGGGCAGGCGGGTGGAAGGCGCGCACATCAACAGGCTGAGGCAGCACGCGGAGCTTGGAGGGGAGCACGCCGCTGGCAGCAAAGGAGTGCAGGTGGAAGGCGGAGGGCACCCACACCTGGTGCATGCGGTTGCAGCGCTGCACGTGTGTGGGCGTGACTCGGTCCGTCTCAAACATGGTGCGCCCCACCAGGAACGCGGACGCCTGCAGGGAGGCCGGCGGGCAGGGAGGGGTTTGGAAGAGGGGCGGTGCCCATGCGCCTGGCTCGCTGTGGCAGATGATAATCCCGTGCACTAGGCTGCCTCTCCTGCTGCTGCTGCTATCTTGTTCCTCTGCCGCACCTGCTTCACTTCCATCTGCTGTTTCCCCTCCCTCTCCTACCGTCCTCCCTGCTCTTCTTCCTCTTCCCGCACGCCACAGACTCTCCCATTCCCCCATTCCGTCCGCCTCTCTACCATACTCCATCTCCTCTTCTCCTCCCACTCCCTCCTCCGCTTTCCCTCGCACTGCTGCTCCTGTGGTGCCCTCAAAAAGTTCTTGAAGCGTTCGAACCGTGGAGTCGGGCAGCCCGGAAATAAACTCCCAATTGTTGCCGTCCCCGTGCTGCTTTATCTTCAACGGCGGCGACCGCGGGGACGCGGCGAGCGACGCAGCGAACGCGACGGCTTCGGAGGAATACCCCCCCGCGGAGAGAAACGGCGCCATCCACAGCACGGGGAGGCGGAGAGGGGGAGACCCGCTGGAAGGGGGAGAGTCGGGGGGGATGCGCGGGAAAGGTGCGGCGGAACCAGTGGGGGGGGACGGACCGTGGGGCGGAGCTGCGGATGCGCCATCTGCGCGAGGAGAAGCGGATGAGGGGGACGCGGGCGCGGCAGCGCACGTTGACGCGGGAAGGTCAGATGGGCACACGGCAGGTGAATTCGCGGTGGGATGATGTGTGGCTGTGACTGACGCAAGGAGCAGGGAAGGGAGGAGGAGTAAGGAGACAGAATAGACGGCGGTGAAGGCAAGACTGCTACGTGGCGGTTTGAGCGCATGGCAACGCCACGGCGACGCGATGGACCTGATTGGCTGCGAAAGAATTCTAAGAAATAGATCGGCAACTTCAAGGAAATCAATCTCGCGGTGATCCCCGCCATTTTGCGAAGCGCAACAAATAGCTCTGGGAACCTGGAGCTGGTTTGCCTCCTTTGTGTGGATATCCCATCAACGCTATCTCTCCGCTCCACCTGCCCACCCTGCAAATTTTCTGCAACAATCAGGCAAACTGACGCCTTGTCCAAATGTAAGGTCTCGGCTCGGCGGCAGTTACTGTAGTTTGGAAACAGCTGTGTGGCTCTGCCGTGTCGGGTAGCGTGTGTTTCCGCGCGCGTTACAACCCTGCTGTCGTGCGCTCCCAAGTGCGCAGCATACATATGTGCGCTCCGACGTGAACTCCTAGATTCTAAAAGCATCGCCTGTTCTAAAACAGAATAAAATGTGTAGATTCGTTCGAATTTTTATGTACAGCTAGCACTTGCAAACCTGTAAGAAACAAACCATTCTGATCGAAGATAATTCCAAGACCTACCAGGAATTCTTAGGTAGGGACCCACAATGCCACAAGCACCTCTGATGAGTGGGATGGGTGTCCATGTAAGTTGAATGGTGATCCAAACCTGAATACTTGCGCCGAATTTGACACACTAGTAACTCACAACATTATATACCACACATATCACTGTACTATTTGTGTCGCATCTGAACTAGTAGGGAGGACCCTGCTAAACAAGATTAAACTATCAGAATCAGTGGGCAACACATCTAAGAACCAGCACAATAGTTCTGGATGAGTTTGGTCACATGGCTTGGCAGTTCTGGATGAGTATGTTCACATGGCTTAGCAGGTGGGGCAGCCATGTACCACGGCATGATGCCAAACCATGCCATGCCCCACAATTGTACCATGCCGGACTGTGCATGCCTACCAGCACAAGCAAAGAAGTGTCACCACCACACCACCACACCACCACACCACCACACCACCACACCACCACACAACCACACCATCACACCACCACACCATCACACCATCACACCACCACACCACCAAACCACCACACCACCACCACCAACAGCCACCAGCAGCCACCATGAGCACGAAAACCACTGAGGCAAGGAGGGTAACATGAGGGTGTGGTCAAGCTTCACGCCTTGCGTTAATGATGAAAAGCATATGCACACGAGTTAATAGAATCGTTGTTCAAAGCGCCCGCTCGTACAAAAATATTGCTGATTTCAGATCCTTGAGAGAAGGTCAGATCAGCTGGTCAAATAGAGGTCCAAATGGGATCATGTACACGCGTACAAGTGCTCAAATGCGAGCAAATCGCGCACATAGACACATGTATGCTTGGTGCTGTACTCATGCATGCACACTGCATACTTCATACACACACGTACAAGAAAAAGTGCAACATGCATGCTTGGTGTACCCATGCATGCACACGGCTACCTTCATGACATCTCAGTTGCACACTGTTGCACCCCTTGCCACTCCCACCACTCTCTCACCACCCACTGTCACTGCACTCTCACCACTCACTCCCTGACCAGTCTCATTCCTCAATCTCTACACTCACTTGCACCACTCACCAGCAGATCCCAGTCTCCACCACGCTTCACCAGTAATTCCCTCCACTCACTCTAACGATTTACTCTCACCACTCACCCCACCTCGCCACCTCGCCACTTCCACCCCTCCACCACTTCCCATTATCACCACTCACTCTCACAGCTCAGTCTCAGCATTCTCTCACAATAGTCGCCACTGACCACTCTGACCACTCACCCTCACCACCCTCTCTGCTCTCTGCGCCACCCTTACTTCCAAAAATCACCACTCTCTCACCACTCGCTGCAAATCACCATTCTCTCACCACTCGCTGCAAATCACCATTCTCTCACCACTCGCTGCAAATCACCATTCTCTCACCACTCGCTGCAAATCACCATTCTCTCACCACTCGCTGCAAATCACCATTCTCTCACCACTCGCTGCAAATCACCATTCTCTCACCACTCGCTGCAAATCACCATTTTCTCACCACTCGCTGAAAATCACCACTCTCTCACCACTCGCTGCAAATCACCATTCTCTCACCACTCGCTGCAAATCACCATTCTCTCACCACTCGCTGCAAATCACCATTCTCTTACCACTCGCTGCAAATCAACGTTCTCTCACCACTCACTGCAAATCAATCAACACTCTCTCACCACCTTCTCACCACTCACTGAAAATCGTCACTCTCACCACTCACTGACAGTCACAACTCTCTCACCACTCACTGCAAATAAACACTCTCTCACCGCTCTATGAAAATCACCACCTTCTCATCACTCACTAAAAGTCACCACTCTTTCACCACCCACTCTCACTGCACTCTCACCACTCACTCCATCTCACCACCTCGCCACACCCCTCCACCACTCACTGTAACCACTCACTCTCACCACTCAGTGTCACCACACTCTTACCATTCTGGCCGCTCAGTCTCACCTCACTCTCACCACTCCAACTTCACCACTCTAACCACTCACCCTTACCACCCTCTCTGCTCCCACTCTCACCACACACTCACATTTTAAATCAGAACAATCCAAACCGGCTGCGCTCATCCATGCAACAGGTGGCATCAGTGCCATACGGCTCATCATATGCCTCCTACCAAGTACGAGCATCATGCTCTCATGCAACAGGTGGCATCAGTGCCATACGGCTCATCATATGCCACCTACCAAGTACGAGCATCATGCTCTCATGCAACAGGTGGCATCGGTGCCATACGGCTCATCATATGCCACCTACCAAGTACGAGCATCATGCTCTCATGCAACAGGTGGCATCAGTGCCATACAGCTCATCATATGCCACCTACCAAGTACGAGCATCATGCTCTCATGCAACAGGTGGCATCAGTGCCATACGGCTCATATTATGCCACCTACCAAGTACGAGCATAATGCTCTCATGCAACAGGTGGCATCGGTGCCATACGGCTCATCATATGCCACCTACCAAGTACGAGCATCATGCTCTCATGCAACAGGTGGCATCAGTGCCATACGGCTCATCATATGCCACCTACCAAGTACGAGCATAATGCTCTCATGCAACAGGTGGCATCAGTGCCATACGGCTCATCACATGCCACCTACCAAGTACGAGCATCATGCTCTCATGCAACAGGTGGCATCAGTGCCATACGGCTCATCATATGCCACCTACCAAGTACGAGCATCATGCTCTCATGCAACAGGTGGCATCAGTGTCATACGGCTCATCATATGCCACCTACCAAGTAAGAGCATCATGCTCTCATGCAACAGGTGGCATCAGTGCCATACGGATCATCATATGCCACTGCCAACCCACAGCCTCTCACCACCATCACCACCCAGCCCACCCATCCCCTCCTCAACTTCACTTACCAGCAGTAGGAGCAGCAGACAGCCCACTCCCTTTCGGAAACAGCACTCTCGGGGGCTGTACTTTGAAGTCGAGGTGTGGCAGTGGAAAATTGCTTCCAGCCCAAGACTCAAATCCCACCCCTGACGTAGCTAGAGCTGACGCGAACCAGAGCCGCCAACCGGTCGGCTCTGACGGTGTCCATTAAGCCTTAAACGCCAGATTGGGAACCTGAGCACCGAGTGCCGTGCCGCGCAGATTCCACCCACCACACCCCGAACCACAAGGCACAACACCAGAGGATGCTGCCCCTAAGGCAGTGAACTGCCCACTTGCTCCTATGCTTCACCCCCATCCCTTCACCCCATGCCTCCTTACCTGTACCTATTACAGCAATGCAGAGCGCCATGATGCCTCAGGCTGCTGGGAAGCGGAGAGTGGAGAAAAGGGTTGGGGGGTCAAAAGAGGGATGCCTCTGTCCGCCTTTGCTCCAGTGCTGCCTCCCTTCCTCAGACAGTAAAAAGGGGTGGGGAGAGGAGGAGAGGGGGGGGGGAAGATGAAACGAGAGACGCCCTGTGTCCCGCCCTAGCTCCGGTGGTCCCTCCCTCTCTCATGCTGCAAGAGGGGTTGGGGGGAGGGGGGGAGAAAGAGAGGGGAGGGGATCAGATAACCATACCTCACTCACCTGATACCATACCTCACCTGATACCATACCACACCTGATACCATACCACACCTCGCTCACGACTCGACCTAACCTAGCCTGTCCTCTAGGCCTCCCCCCCAACCTCACCCCCCCGCTGCTGCTGCTGAGGCCGCTTCTGCTGCAACGGCTGCTGCCGGTCTGCTACTCAGCTTCCTCTGCTGCAGTCTTCACTCCATGCCAAGTGACCTGGTGGGGGGAGAAGAAAGAGGGGAAGAAAAAGCAAGTGAGTTGGCATGACCAGAAAAAAAAAACACAGAAAACTTAAAACTAACAAACACGTGAAGGCAGAACTGAAGAGCAGAAAGCAGAATAAGAAGGCAAAAAAGGGAGCGCGATGAGGGCAAGAGGGGAGGTGACGTACCTTGAGAGGCCAAGCCCACCCCAATACTCTCCCTTGTGGCAGCGATTTGCAGTGCCTCCCTCCCATCCCCACGGGTACCTGCACGGCCACAGGGGAGGGGCGTGGGGAAGCGTCGGTGTTGACCCCCGCCCCTCCCCTCCACCTGCAAGGCACACACGCAGAGCTGGTCAGTGGGCAGCGAGGGGATGAATGGTGAAAGTGCAAGAGAGGGAACGGCATTTGCAAGGCGGGAGAGGGGAGGGGCCACTGGTGGAGGCCAAGTCACAAACTGCAGACCCAAGGGCTGCACCTGAGGGGGTACCTGCACACCTGCACCTGAGGGGGTACCTGCACACCTGCACCTGAGGGGGTACCTGCACCTGAGAGGGTTACCTGAAGTAAGGGGGTCTGCAGCATGTGAGCCGGTCCCAACCAGTGGCGCTGTTTCAAGTGGAAGGTGCGAAAGCGCATGCAAACACGAGATGCAAGCAAAGTACACAAGACATGGCGAGGCAGGCAAGGGGTTGAGGGAACTTAGCTGGCAGATGGAGAACGTTCGAGGGAGCTGTTGCCTCGTCCCTGCTCCCCTCCCCTCCACCTCCAGTGTGCGTCTCCTGTTGAATGCCAAGTGACCTGGTAGGGGCAGCAGACAGGGGGGGAAGTAACAGTGGTTGAGTTGGCATGACCAGGAAAAACAACAACAGCTGCAGCTAAAAGAAATGCGAAGGCGAAATTGTGGTGCAGAAAGGGAGAGCGACGAGGGCAAGAGGGGAGGTGACGTACCTTGAGAGGCCAAGCCCACCCCGATACTCTCCCTTGGTGCAGCGATTGGCAGTGCTGCCTCTCTCCCATCCCCACGGGTACCTGCACGGCCACAGGGGAGGGGCGTGGGGAAGCGTCAGTGTTGACCCCCGCCCCTCCCCTCCACCTGCAAGGCACACACGCAGAGCTGGTCAGTGGGCAGCGAGGGGATGAATGGTGAAAGTGCGAGTCACAGAGGCAGTGCGAGAGAGGGGAAGGGCCACTGGAAGGGGCAGGAGCACAAGGCACAGACTCCAAGGGGACCTGACCGGCTCACCTGCAGTAAGGGGGTAACCTGAGGGGGCTGTGGGCTGAACCTGAAGCTAAGGGCGGGCTGTAAGGGTTTACCTGAACCTGAACCTGAGGGCTCACCTGAAGTCAGGGGGAGTGTCTGTGGCTTGTGAACCGGGCACCAACCAGTGGCGGGAATTTCAAGGACAAACCAGCGACACGAGCATGAGAGAACAACGAGGGTTGGGAGGAGAGAGGCAGGGCGGGGTACTTAGCTTAGCCGTGGGTGGGTTGGGTGGAGAGCAGCTGCTGCCTGTGCACCCCATGTCCCCCGCCACTGCCACTCCCGTGTGAGCAACCTGCTGGGACGAGAGGGGGAAGATCAGGACAAAGAGAAGGGAGGAGAGGACGGGAATTGAGGAGTGGGGAGGGCAGTGAGGAAAGAAGCAGGGCAAGTGCGTGAAGTGAGAGCAGAGATGATGCGAGCATGAATGGACTGCTGCAATGGCACACCCAAGAGACCTCATACCAGCTAAATACCTGAGCACGTACCTGCTACCTTGCTACCTTGGGGGAGGGAGGTCTCTTGAGTGTGACAGAGGGCAGTAAAGGAGGGAGTTTGATGTATCATGCAAGCGAGACATGAAAGCCAACACAAGTACGAGGCTTGGGAGGAGAGAGGCAGGGCGGGGGTACTTAGCTTAGCTGTGGGTGGGTTGGGTGGAGAGCAGCTGCTGCCTGTGCACTCCATGTCCCCCGCCACTGCCACTCCCGTGTGAGCTACCTGCTGGGACGAGAGGGGGAAGATCAGGACAGAGAGAAGGGAGGAGAGGACGGGAATTGAGGAGTGGGGAGGGCAGTGAGGAAAGAAGCAAGGACAAGTGAGTGAAGTGAGAGCAGAGATGATGCGTGCATGAATGGACTGCTGCAATGGCACACCCAAGAGACCTCATACCAGCTAAATACCTGAGCACGTACCTGCTACCTTGCTACCTTGGGGGAGGGAGGTCTCTTGAGTGTGACAGAGGGCAGTAAAGAAGGGAGTTTGATGTATCATGCAAGCGAGACATGAAGGGCAACACAAGTACGAGGCTGGGTTGGGAGGAGAGAGGCAGGGCAGGGTACTTAGCTTAGCCGTGGGTGGGTTGGGTGGAGAGCAGCTGCTGCCTGTGCACTCCATGTCCCCCGCCACTGCCACTCCCATGTGGGCAACCTGCTGGGACGAGAGGGGGAAGATCAGGACAGAGAGAAGGGAGGAGAGGACGGGAATCGAGGAGTGGGGAGGGCAGTGAGGAAAGAAGCAAGGACAAGTGAGTGAAGTGAGGGCAGAGATGATGCGCGCATGAATGGACTGCTGCAGTGGCACACCCAAGAGACCTCATACCAGCTGAACAACACTAAACTAAATACCTGAGCACGTACCTGCTACCTTGCTACCTTGGGGGAGGGAGGTCTCTTGAGTGTGACAGAGGGCAGTAAAGAAGGGAGTTTGATGGAAGCAACACAAGGGAGACATGGAAGGCAACACAAGTACGAGGGTTGGGAGGACTTAGCTTGGGGTGGGAGACGCAGAGAGCGCCGCGTGTGGGCCTGAAATCGCAGGTCGCGAGAGTGGTTGTCACCCGTCCAAGGGGTTGGGAACGGCGACAACCTGCTGTGGGTGGAAAGACGCGGCGACTACCATGTGTAAAATCGATTGGGAAACGTCTGTCACGAAACATCTCGCGAAGTGACGTACTGTGATGCGAAATCGATCTGCGAAATTGAATATAGAATTGCAGGGTTGAAACGGGAGACTGAAACGCGACAACTATGTACGAAATCGATTGGTGAATTTGCTCATCAATATTGAAACGCGAAAGGACGGAAAAGTTAACGTGCGACATGCGGGAATTTGTTCGCAAAATTGACTTCTTGCATGGGTGTGGTTTCGCGAAATACCTGAGCTGCCAGACGAAGCGAATCTGAACTCGCACGCACTCCCCGAAATCGCACGGACAACCAGATGGCTTTGGTGGTTCGAGTGACATGTCGCCTCGGAACAAACCTGCAACATGCAACCAGCAGTAATGGTCACGTCAGACGCGCCACTGAACAACCTCGCGAGTGCTATAACGAAAGCATACATATTACACAACTAAGAAAGACTCGGATACGTGGAAAAACGCACATGCGCTCAGACGTACCTTGCATAAAAAATAGACCCCATCCTCGCAGTTCTTTCGTAGGCAAAGTTTCCAGGCTTCACGCGATTTCCTCTTCCCGACACGCGATTTCCTCTTCCCAACACGCCATTTCCTCTTCCCGACACGCCATTTCCTCTTCTAGACGTGCGATTTCCTCTTCCCGACGCGCGATTTCCTCTTCCTGTAAACGCAGCTTCTACATTAACCTAGGCCTGAAGCTTGAATAGAAAGTAAAATTTCCTAGCGGCTCGCCTTTTCGCAGTCGCAGCAGCTCTAAGAAAACGAGAAGAAGAAGCTGAGCTTGATAAAATGAGAGCAAGAGGCGAAAGCGGTGTGAAATCCGAGGCTCGGGCGAGAATGAGGCGAGAGACGACGGTCACGCTGGAATGAGGCGGAGGGGTAACCAACTGCCTCTCCTCTCCTTTCCTCACAACAACCCTCTTCAGATCTACCGTCCACAATCACTGATTTGTCTAAAATGTGCTTGGTAACTCAGATCTCAACCGTAGGTTCGGACCTTTTGACGGCAACCCTCGCCAGTTCCTCATTGGTCTACAGGTTAACCGGTTGCGTTGGGTTTGCGACGAACAGTGGCGGTGGCTGCGAATGGTTGGTTCCGGTCAGGCAAGTTATCGTCCATGACAGGGAGATTCGAGATTCCACATCGATGGCTGGTTGAAATTCGTCCGCGTGGCACATGAATCCCCTGTCGGTCAGGGAAGCGAAAGGATTTTGCCAAGTTTACGCTGTTCACTTGTCCCCTCCGTTCACCTCAGCGGCTGCGCGAGACAAATAACACCGACTTTTTTCAGCGAGATTCCGTTGACAATGGCGGGAGCTGCGGGATTTCGCTGGTGATCGTTGGACTCCGTGACCTAGGAACCGTCGATTGTCCTCTGATCTGGAGCCGCAGAGTCATCGCGTCAGCCTGGAACGCGGCAAACCCAATGGTTTGAATTCGAAGCCGTTGTTCCAGCTAATGAGAGCGAAGTGAATCCTAGCCGTGGATACAAATTCTAGGCTGGCAGTCGTGGTTGAGATCTGGGGTTGAGACCATCACCCTCTGACACTGGTCCGCAGGTGGGGGAAGGGAATGAGCAAAATGGGCGAAGGTGATGTAACTCTTATCCTTCGCACATATGGTGTTCCTCGCCGTTGATTGGGCAGATATACTGATCTTCTGAGACCTGCTGGGTCGACGTTTGCACACGTGGGGAAACCAGCAGATGTATCTTTCGAATAACCCTTGCTAATGCAGAGAAGTTACACCAATCAAAACTACAAAGCTATATTTGACACAGGACATAATCTTTACTGCAAAAAATGGACTGCTTCATTGTTCCCATTTACCCTGGGACTTGCACCAAGTCCAGTTATTACAATGATTACCCTGGTTTTATTTTTCAGTCCTCTGTACACCAACCTACTCCCAGATTTGTCGTCATACTTGCAATTGCAACAAATTTTCAGTACATCTACTTTCATTCCATTTAACCTAAAGTATACGTATTCAAACCACTCGTGGAGAATAATTTAAAGTGCCCTTCAAAATTTGTATTGATGAAAAGCATATGCACACGAGTTAACAAAATCGTTGTTCAAAGCGCCCGCTCGTACAAAAAAAATGCTGATTTCAGATCCTTGAGTTAAGGTCAAATCAGCTGGTCAAATAGAGGTCCAAAAGGAATCATGTTCACGCGCACAAGTGCTCAAAAGCGAGCAAATCGCACACATAGACACATGTGCAGGGGCGGTGGGGGGCGAATGGGAGGGGGCTGGCGAGGCACGTGGCGGTAGAGATGACGAATGACCAGCAGTGCTATGTCCTTATCTATCCATGCATCGCTGGTGGGGGGGGGCAAGAGGGAGGGCGAGAAAGAAAGGGAGGTAGGAGGGGAGGGAAGAGGGAAGTGGCAGATGATGAGGAGGAGACTGGCAGGCACTGAGACGCGAGCAGCAGAGGAGGAGAACGCTTGTTGAAGGAAGAATGGCAACGGACGCATCACGAGGGTCATGCAGGCAGAAGAGGGATGGCTGGCATGGAAGAATGGGACAGCAGCAGTCGTGCAGGTAGAGGTGGTGCAGGTAGAGGTGGTGCAGGCAGGAGAAAAGGGTGATGAGAGTGAAGAGGCGAGGCGAGAGGGAAGTTGCGACTCACAAGTGGCAGCTCATGGCCTGCAGGTACTGGTGCTGGAAGGACGGGTCCTGGCGGGCAGCAGGGCATGGAGCAACGGGGGAGGGGGAAGGAGAGTGGGATGGGGCTGATGTGCGTGCGGCTGCACGCGATGCAACGGCATGCACCGTATGGCGCACAGCACATGTCACCTACACAGCACAACCACAACAACGCCCCAAGACCCCCACACCCCCCCCGTCCTCCAGGGCCCGAGCCCCACCTGCAGCATGAAGTCGATTGATGCGGCCGTTAAGAGAGCCTGTGAGGCGCGTGAGTGTGGGCTGAGATCGCATATCCAGTGCCACATGGCAGAACCAGGACCATGCCCCATGCCCCACCTGCCCCATGCCTCACCTGCCCCGAGCCCCACCTGCCCCGAGCCCCACCTGCCCCATGCCTCACCTGCCCCGAGCCCCACCTGCCCCGAGCCCCACCTGCAGCATGAAGTCGATGCGGCCATGCGGAGAGCCGGTGAGGCGCGTGAGTGTGTGCTGCGACCGCGCATCCAACACTGGCATCTCACTGCTGTCGGGGGCTGATAACGGGGAGGAGACGGAGGACAGCAGGCCGACAAAGGGAAGGGGCAGCAGACGGAGGAGGGCGGAATGGGAAGAGGAGCAGACTGTGTGGTTATGACTATGAGAGAAGCAATCGGAGCATAGTAGAGTGACAGTAAGGGAGGGTTGGGCAGGTGATGGTTGCATGGGCATGTGGGGGCCATGGCATGTCATGGGATGGGTGGGGCTCGGTGCATACGGGGGGATGTTGGTGCGTTTGGGTGGAGGTGAGTGCATACCCGGCGCGGGTCGAGGAGGTGGAGTGGCGAAGCAGAGAAGACTCCATGCGGACCTCTGGCAGGGGTGGGGATGGGTTGAGGGGAGTGAGAAGGGAGCAACCAGGGAGGAGGCGAGAGGCAGGGAGAGGCGTGAGATGCATGCTGATGCTGATGCTGATGCTGATGCTGATGCTGATGCTGATGCTGATATGATGCTGATGCTGATATGATGTTGATGCTGATGCTGATGCTGATGCTGATGCTGATGCTGATATGATGCTGATGCTGATGCTGATGCTGATGCTGATGCTGTTGCTGATGCTGATGCTGATGCTGATGCTGATGCTGATGCTGATGCTGATATGATGCTGATGCTGATGCTGATGCTGATGTTGATGCTGATGCTGATGCTGATGCTGATGCTGATGCTGATGCTGATATGAAGCTGATGCTGATAAGATGCTGATGCTGATGCTGATGCTGATGCTGATGCTGATGCTGATATGATGCTGATGCTGATGCTGATATGATGCTGATGCTGATGCTGATGCTGATATGATGCTGATATGATGCTGATGCTGATATGATGCTGATGCTGATGCTGATGCTGATGCTGATGCTGATATGATGCTGATGCTGATATGATGCTGATGCTGATATGATGCTGATGCTGATGCTGAATCTGATGCTGATGCTGATGCTGATATGATGCTGATGCTGATGCTGATGCTGGTGCTGATGATGATGCTGATGCTGATGCTGATGCTGATGCTGATGTGATGCTGATGCTGATGTGATGCTGATGCTGATATGATGCTGATGCTGATGCTGATGCTGTTGCTGATGCTGATGCTGATATGTTGCTGATGCTGATGCTGATGCTGATGCTGATGCTGATATGATACTGATGCTGATGCTAAAGCTGATGCTGATGCTGATGCTGATGCTGATGCTGATGCTGATATGATGCTGATATGATGCTGATGCTGATGCTGATATGATGCTGATGCTGATGCTGATGCTGATGCTGATATGATGCTGATGCTGATGCTGATGCTGATGCTGATGCTGACGCTGATGCTGATGTGATGCTGATGCTGATGCTGATGCTGATATGATGCTGATGCTGATGCTGATGCTGATATGATGCTGATGCTGATGCTGATGCTGATGCTGATGCTGATGCTGATGCTGATATGATGCTGATATGATGCTGATGCTGATGCTGATGCTGATGCTGATATGATGCTGATGCTGATGCTGATGCTGATGCTGATGCTGATGCTGATGCTGATGCTGATATGATGCTGATGCTGATGCTGATGCTGATGTGATGCTGATGCTGATGCTGATGCTGATGCTGATGCTGATGCTGATATGATGCTGATGCTGATGCTGATGCTGATGCTGATGCTGATATGATGCTGATGCTGATGCTGATGCTGATGTGATGCTGATGCTGATGCTGATGCTGATGCTGATGCTGATATGATGCTGATATGATGCTGATATCATAATGATGCTGATGCTAAAGCTGATTCTGATGCTGATGCTGATGCTGATGCTGATATGATGCTGATATGATGCTGATGCTGATGCTGATGCTGATGCTGATGCTGATGCTGATGCTGATGTGATGCTGATGCTGATGCTGATATGATGCTGATGCTGATGCTGATGCTGATATGATGCTGATGCTGATGCTGATGCTGATGCTGATATGATGCTGATGCTGATGCTGATGCTGATGCTGATGTGATGCTGATGCTGATGCTGATGCTGATATGATGCTGATGCTGATGCTGATATGATGCTGATGCTGATGCTGATGCTGATGCTGATGTGATGCTGATGCTGATGCTGATGCTGATATGATGCTGATGCTGATGCTGATGCTGATATGATGCTGATGCTGATGCTGATGCTGATGCTGATGCTGATATGATGCTGATGCTGATGCTGATGCTGATGCTGATGCTGATGCTGATGCTGATGCTGATATGATGCTGATGCTGATGCTGATGCTGATGCTGATGCTGATATGATGCTGATGCTGATGCTGATGTGATGCTGATGCTGATGCTGATGCTGATATGATGCTGATGCTGATGCTGATGCTGATGCTGATGCTGATGCTGATATGATGCTGATGCTGATGCTGATGCTGATGCTGATGCTGATGCTGATGCTGATGCTGATATGATGCTGATATGATGCTGATGCTGATGCTGATGCTGATGCTGATGCTGATGCTGATGCTGATATGATGCTGATGTTGATGCTGATGCTGATGCTGATGCTGATGCTGATATGATGCTGATGCTGATGCTGATGCTGATGCTGATGCTGATGCTGATGCTGATGCTGATGCTGATATGATGCTGATGCTGATGCTGATATGATGCTGATGCTGATGCTGATGTGATGCTGATGCTGATGCTGATATGATGCTGATGCTGATGCTGATGCTGATGCTGATGCTGATGCTGATGCTGATATGATGCTGATGCTGATGCTGATGCTGATGTGATGCTGATGCTGATGCTGATGCTGATGCTGATGCTGATGCTGATATGATGCTGATATGATGCTGATATCATAATGATGCTGATGCTAAAGCTGATTCTGATGCTGATGCTGATGCTGATGCTGATATGATGCTGATATGATGCTGATGCTGATGCTGATGCTGATGCTGATGCTGATGCTGATGCGGATGTGATGCTGATGCTGATGCTGATGCTGATATGATGCTGATGCTGATGCTGATGCTGATATGATGCTGATGCTGATGCTGATGCTGATGCTGATATGATGCTGATGCTGATGCTGATGCTGATGCTGATGCTGATGTGATGCTGATGCTGATGCTGATGCTGATATGATGCTGATGCTGATGCTGATATGATGCTGATGCTGATGCTGATGCTGATGCTGATGTGATGCTGATGCTGATGCTGATGCTGATATGATGCTGATGCTGATGCTGATGCTGATATGATGCTGATGCTGATGCTGATGCTGATGCTGATGCTGATATGATGCTGATGCTGATGCTGATGCTGATGCTGATGCTGATGCTGATGCTGATGCTGATGCTGATATGATGCTGATGCTGATGCTGATGTGATGCTGATGCTGATGCTGATGCTGATATGATGCTGATGCTGATGCTGATGCTGATGCTGATATGATGCTGATGCTGATGCTGATGCTGATGCTGATGCTGATGCTGATATGATGCTGATGCTGATGCTGATATGATGCTGATGCTGATGCTGATGCTGATGCTGATGCTGATGCTGATATGATGCTGATGTTGATGCTGATGCTGATGCTGATGCTGATGCTGATATGATGCTGATGCTGATGCTGATGCTGATGCTGATGCTGATGCTGATGCTGATGCTGATGCTGATGCTGATATGATGCTGATGCTGATGCTGATATGATGCTGATGCTGATGCTGATGCTGATGTGATGCTGATGCTGATGCTGATGCTGATGCTGATATGATGCTGATGCTGATGCTGATGCTGATATGATGCTGATGCTGATATGATGCTGATATGATGCTGATGCTGATGCTGATGCGGATGCTGATGCTGATGCTGATGCTGATATGATGCTGATGCTGATATGATGCTGATGCTGATGCTGATGCTGATGCTGATATGATGCTGATGCTGATGCTGATATGATGCTGATGCTGATGCTGATGCTGATGTGATGCTGATGCTGATGCTGATGCTGATGCTGATATGATGCTGATGCTGATGCTGATATGATGCTGATGCTGATATGATGCTGATGCTGATATGATGCTGATATGATGCTGATGCTGATATGATGCTGATGCTGATGCTGATGCGGATGCTGATGCTGATGCTGATGCTGATATGATGCTGATGCTGATGCTGATGCTGATGCTGATGCTGATGCTGATGCTGATATGATGCTGATGCTGATGCTGATGCTGATATGATGCTGATGCTGATGCTGATATGATGCTGATGCTGATATGATGCTGATGCTGATGCTGATGCTGATGCTGATGCTGATATGATGCTGATGCTGATGCTGATGCTGATGTGATGCTGATGCTGATGCTGATGCTGATGCTGATATGATGCTGATGCTGATGCTGATATGATGCTGATGCTGATATGATGCTGATGCTGATATGACGCTGATGCTGATATGATGCTGATGCTGATGCTGATGCTGATGCTGATATGATGCTGATGCTGATGCTGATGCTGATGCTGATGCTGATGCTGATGCTGATATGATGCTGATGCTGATGCTGATATGATGCTGATGCTGATGCTGATATGATGCTGATGCTGATATGATGCTGATGCTGATATGATGCTGATGCTGATGCTGATGCTGATGCTGATGCTGATGCTGATATGATGCTGATGCTGATGCTGATGCTGATGCTGATATGATGCTGATGCTGATATGATGCTGATGCTGATGCTGATGCTGATGCTGATGCTGATATGATGCTGATGCTGATGCTGATATGATGCTGATGCTGATGTGATGCTGATGCTGATGCTGATGCTGATGCTGATGCTGATGCTGAAGCTGAAGCTGATGCTGATATGATGCTGATGCTGATGCTGATATGATGCTGATGCTGATATGATGCTGATGCTGATATGATGCATGGGCGGAAGAGGGAATTCCACGTGACAACACACACACATTTTAAGACAGCATTCACAGCACTGCACCAGGATTATGCCCCCTCACATAGCCTCTCACTGCCTCACATAGCCTCTCACCGCCTCAAATAGCCTCTCACTGCCCCACACCGCTTCACTGCCTCACATTGCATCACAGTACCTCCCATGACTCACGAGCAAGTATTGCAGTGGTGAAACCAGTGCATGGTACAGCCATCTCAGGCTGTCCCTCAGCTGCTGGAAGAAACGCTGATGCATGAAGGAAAAGGGGGTGCGCGCATGGGGACGTATGGGTTGCGGTATGGGAGGGAAGGGAGTAGGATGAGGAACAGCACGGGTTGGGAGGGCATGGTGGGAAGGCATAATGCAGAAAGAGGCACAGCACAGCCCTCACCTTGACTGCAATGTGCACAGCCCTCACCTTGACTACAATGTGCGTGCGGTAGCGGCCTCGGTGGTACGGCATGAGCACCGGAGGGACAGACGCCAACTACACCACTCACTGTAACCACTCACTCTCACCACTCAGTGTCACCACACTCTTACCATTCTGGCCGCTCAGTCTCACCTCACTCTCACCACTCCAACTTCACCACTCTAACCACTCACCCTTACCACACTCTCTGCTCCTACTCTCACCACACACTCACATTTTAGATCAGAACATTTTAAACCGGCTGCGCTCATGCATGCAACAGCTGGCATCAGTGCCATACGGCTCATCATATGCCACCTACCAAGTACGAGCATCATGCTCTCATGCAACAGGTGGCATCAGTGCCATACGGCTTATCATATGCCACCTACCAAGTACGAGCATCATGCTCTCATGCAACAGGTGGCATCAGTGCCATACGGCTCATCATATGCCACCTACCAAGTAAGAGCATCATGCTCTCATGTAACAGGTGGCATCAGTGCCATACGGCTCATCATATGCCACCTACCAAGTATGAGCATCATGCTCTCATGCAACAGGTGGCATCAGTGCCATACGGCTCATCATATGCCACTGCCAACCCACAGCCTCTCACCACCATCACCACCCAGCGCACCCAGCCGCTCCTCAACTTCACTTACCAGCAGTAGGAGCAGCAGACAGCCCACTCCCCTTCGGAAACACCACTCTCGGGGGCTGTGCTTTGAAGTCGAGGTGTGGCAGTGGAAAATTGCTTCCAGCCCAAGACTCAAATCCCACCCCTGACGTAGCTAGAGCTGACGCGAACCAGAGCCACCGGCCGGTCCATTAAGCCTTAAACGCCAGATTGGGAACCTGAGCACCGAGTGCCGTGCCGCGCAGATTCCACCCACCACACCCCGAACCACAAGGCACAACACCAGAGGATGCTGCCCCTAAGGCAGTGAACTGCCCACTTGCTCCAATGCTCCACCCCCATCCCTTCACCCCATGCCTGCTTACCTGTACCTACCACAGCCATGCAGAGCGCCATGATGCCTCAGGCTGCTGGGAAGTGGAGAGTGGAGAAAAGGGTTGGGGAGTCAAAAGAGGGATGCCTCTGTCCGCCTTTGCTCCAGTGCTCCGTCCCTTCCGCAGGCTGTAAAAGGGGTGGGGGGAGGAGGAGACAGGGGGGGTGAGATGAAACGAGGGATGCCCTGTGTCTTGCTCCGGTGGTCCGTCCCTCTCTCAGGCTGCAAGACAGGGTGGGGGGAGAGAAAGAAAGGGAAGGGGATTGTCCGTTGTATTAATAAGCACTATGCATACAAGCATGCAAGATTGATGGTGAGGCAAGCATCCTACTCGCCACCCGCCTGGTCCACAAAGGGTCCAAGCGGGGGTTCTAGGAGTTGAAACAGGTATCCTTCAGCTAGGGGTTCGATGGCATCAGCAATCCCAGCCGCATCCGCCTCCATGGCCGTGTGAGTTTTCAGATTGAGGGCATGCGCCTGCCCACGCTGCAGAGTGATGCTCCAGCGCTGCCTGTACTCGTGGAACAGCTTGGCTGCTTCCGCCGAGGTAGGGGGAGCGTTGAAACGCAGCTTGGCGGCCAAGTCAGCGCACATCTTGAGGAACTCGAACACTCCAGGTGAGGTACAGCCGTAAGTCTCGACTGCCATGGGGATGAACCCCACCCAGTCATTCCTGTTTGCATATTTGTCCGTCTTCTTGTCTGCAGCCACACGGGCAGCCCACCCCGTCCCCTTTCGTGCATACTTGTCGCATTTTGAGATGGGGTCTGTGACGGTAACGTCACAGATGTGTATACGGCCGGTGATGGGATCGCGGATCGAGAAGTCCGCGAATAGGTTTTCGACCGTCGTATACATCGCTGTTTCCTTGTGGACAGTGTAACCGGCTTCTTTGGCTATGCGGGCGCATTCATCCCGCAGGGCATGGTGCGTGCTCGTCCGTCCCTTCCCTGTCCCACAGCGCAGCAGGTGGTTTGGCAGGCGGCTGTCCAGGATCTTGACAGCCTTGGTGCAGTCGCATTGGCGCGGGATTGGGTGGGGGAGGCCCAAGCGGAAGAGGATGGATTGGGAGTAGTGGGCGGGGCAGAGTCGAAGGGCGCTCGTCAGGGGCAGTGCCGCCAGCCAATCGCCGGCTCCGGGTCCGAGGAGGGATAGGAGGCGTTGCGTGTGGCCCATGAGCGGGTTCGGGGACATGCGCCGGCTGCTGCGGACGCCGGCGACAGCCTTAGCTGAGTGGACGTGGAGCGCTAGTGCGTGTTGCAGCTTCAGCCCGTCCCCCTTCTCTCGCCCGACCTTCATCACAGCCGCTGTTGATGGGGGAAGGCTGGCTTCCGCGACGGCCAGGCGTTGCGGCAGGGCGGCAGGGTTTGTAGGGTCCGCGTCGAGCAGGGGCGCAAGTTCTGCCACCTCCTGGTGTAGCTTGGAGCCAAGGGAGCGCAGGAGGTGGGCCGTTGCGACGGCCGACGCCAGGTAGGCGTAGGAGCCTTCCGTGCTTGGGTCAGTGAGTCCCAGGCCTCCTATGGTGGTGGGGAGGCTGGCCTGGTTCCAGATCCGTTCCTTCTCCGCCGGCGCGCGAGGCTCTGAGATTTGCGCCGCAGCAAGCAGAGTGTGTAGCAGCCGTTCACCCCACGCGGACCATTCAGCTGTGGGCAGGAGGGCTAGGGGGGTGGTGCGGGCGAGGAAAGAGGCTCTCCGGCTGATGCATCGGGTGAGCAGAAGGTAGGAGAGTTGGGGATCCATGCGGCCCACTAGTGGCAGCGGAGAGCTTGCTGTAGCGAGCTTTTCCCGCAGCTGCGTGGCACAGCCGTCGGCTGTTCCGACTGGGCTGCCGAGGACCCGCAATCCGGCGCGGTGGAAGTGGATCCCGGTGGGGAGGTCGGCGTCGTTCATGGGGCCAGGTGACCAGGCTGCGCACTTTGCGGGGTTGTGGGCCAGGCCGATGGGGAGGAGGTCGGCCGTGAGGTGGTTGAAGGCGGAGGTGCAGGCGGACGCGGGGCCAAGGAATGTGATATCGTCCGCGTAGGCGATGATGACGACGTTCGGAAACGCAGCGGCGGTGGCGGTAAGTGAGCGTTGGATACCAGCCGCAAAGAGTAGCGGCCCCATTGGGTCGCCCTGGCGGACTCCACGCGCGCTTGTTGGAGATGCTGCGTTGAAGCTTGCGCCCACTTGTAGGGTGGAGGCGGAGCCGTATGTGAGTCTAACGAAGGGGAGCAGGGGGGCGAGTGGGGTGGATTGCAGGCCTTCGAAGACGGCTGCTCTTTCTATCGCGTTGAAGGCGTTTGCTATGTCCATCTGGAGTGCGATCGCGGTAGGGTTTTCCTCCAGGTATTTGCGGATGATATGGATGGCAGCTTCCGTCCCCCCTGGTACTGCTACGCCGAGTTGGAGAGGTGTGAAGAAGTCGCGAGCGGCCGCGCCGGTCAGGTAAAGTGCACATTTCGCGATAAGGCGGTGCAGGCACTCGCCGACTGCGATGGGGCGGATCCCTCCTCCAGGTTTGACGAACGCAACCAGACGTGAGACTGTAAGTAGCGATGCTGCCTCGGGACACAGCTGGCCTGCGAGAGCCGTGTTGGTGAGTGCGTGGAGGTGTTGGCAGACATCTGGGTTCCCAAGAGCAGCATCACGGAGGTGTTCGGAGGTTGTGCCTGAGGGCCCAGCTCCAACTCCGTTGGGGCATTTAGCGATGATTTTGCGGAAGTCGCGAAGGGGTATGAGTGGTGGGGTGTCAGTGGCGTGGTTGGTAACCCAGTCAGGGATGAGTAGTTCGGCAGGAGGGTGGCGCGCTTGGAGGGCAGCCAGAGTGTCAGGTGTGGTGGGGGCCACAGGAGTGGCCTGGAGGGCTTGGAGGGATTTTTTGAGGTTCCCACGTTTGGCCAAGCCTTCAGCTCTGGCCAGGCAGCCAATCTCGTCGGTGGTGTGTCTGGGTTGGGCTGGGAGCTGAATAGCCTTGGCCGCTTCCTCGTACAGTTCCTGCCAGTTCCCGCGGTCAAATGATAGGATACGGCTGCTGCAGGCTGGCCAATCTGGACGTTTGGTGCTGGGGACACGGAGGATTAGGCGCGGGAGGAACAGCAGCAGTCGCCAGGCAGGTTCGGAGTCAGGGTTGGAGGCTAGGGCAAGGAGGGGGGTCAGGAGGCATGTCGCAAAGGCTTCGCGAATTGCTTTGGGTGGGTGCCTTGCCAGGCTAGGTTGGCGGCTATCACTCAGGTGGGACAGGTCCCAGGTGGAAACCTGGTCGAAAAGGTCCCTGCGCTTCGCCAGGTCTGTTGGCGAAAAAGTTGGTTGGCTTGGTGGCGGGGAAATTTCAGATCCGGCTCGAATGTTGGTAGCTTGGTGTCTCACAGATCTGGGCTCCAGCTCTTCCACGCTCTCGTCTTCAGACGAGGGCCCCAAGTTCCCCTCCCCATCGAGTGTAAAAAGGGGGTCACCCTAATCATTCTCGTCATTCACAGTCTCCGTGTTGCCTCCCTCCTCAGCCTCCCTTAGCAGCCGCCGCGTTACACGCCTGAAGTCTGTGGTACACCCTCCGCCTCGCGAAGTAGCGCTCGCGTCGCCCTCTCCTCGACCACGGCGGCCTCGTCCGCGGCCTCCGCGCCCGTGCGTCGTCGCGCGTCGCCCTCTGACCGGCACCGACGCCGGACGTCGCTCTGGAGCGTTCGCGCAACGTGGAGCGCGCGGGCGGAGTCCACCATTGACGACCCGCTCCCGTGAGTGGCCATGGCGGGCTCGCGAACCCGTGGGCGGGAGCGCTCGCCGTCGCGGCCTCATGGGGTGCGGCGCAGCCCGCCGTCGCGTCTCCCGTCGCCATCTCCAGCGCTCTGGCCTGACGTCGCACGGGGCTCGCGATCCCAGGCGTCGTCTCCGCGCCCTCGGTCCCCGCGGGGGGGAACTCTGCGTCGGCGCGAATCCCCTCGTCCGGCCTCTCCGCGCCTTGCGTCGCCTCGTCGCCCGTCTCCGCCGCCGCGAAACCAGGGTGGCGGCAGCGGCCAATCGCGTTCCCGCCGTGCTCCCCGCCGATGGCGTGCCCATCAACCTGCTCCTGCTGTGGCTGCGGCGACTGCAGCCGCGACTGCGGCCGTGACCGCCGCTGTGGAGCGCGCCCTCGGCGGGCTTGGTGAGAGGGTGCGCTCGTTGTCGCGTCCAGATGCTCCCGTCGTGCCGTCCGTGAGCCAGCTGCCTCCCCCACTCGACTTGGCGCCTCATCCTCCAGCCGTTGTACCTCCTCTTCCTCTTCCTGCCCCGCCTCCGATACTCCCCCCGCAGCAGCTCCTCCCTCAGCAGCCCCTTCATCAACAGCTCCCTCTTCAGCAGCTTCCACCGTCCGCGCGCCCAGATCCGCAATCCTTGGCGGGACAGCCCGCCGTGGCACCGCTTCCTCTGCGCCTCCCGCCAGGGGTGTGGTGTGCGCCTGCGGGGGGTGGGCCCCCCGTGTATCAAACGTTTGCGGAAGGGGATCAGATAACACACCTGATACCATAACACACCTGATACCATACCTCACCTGATACCATACCTCACCTGATACCATACCACACCTGATACCATACCACACCTCGCTCACGACTCGATCTAACCTAGCCCGTCCTCTAGCCCCCCACCCCCCACTGTTGCTGCTGCTGCCGCTTCTGCTGCTGCAACTGCTGCTGCCGGTCTGCTGCTCAGATTCCTCTGCTACAGTCTTCAATCGCTGCCAAGTGACCTGGTAGGGGGGGAAGGAAAAAGGGAAGTAGAGAACAAGTGAGCTGGCATGACCAGAAAATAGAAAAACTGAAGTTGACAAAAAACAAGAACTCGAAATAAAGAATCAGAAAGGGAGAGGGATGAGGGCAAGACAGCACTGACGTACCTTGAGAGGCCAAGCCCACCCCCATACTCTCCCATCCCATCCCAGCCGAGTGGAGTGCTACCCCCCTCCCCTCCCACCACTGCCACCTGCACGGGCGTGGAGGAGCGTCAGTGTTGACCCCCGCCCCTCCCCTCCACCTGCGAGGCACACACGCAGAGCTGGTCAGTGGGCAGCGAGGGGATGAATGGTGAAAGTGCAAGAGAGGGAACGGCATTTGCAAGGCGGGAGAGGGGAGGGGCCACTGGTGGAGGCCAAGTCACAAACTGCAGACCCAAGGGCTGCACCTGAGGGGGTACCTGCACACCTGCACCTGAGGGGGTACCTGCACACCTGCACCTGAGGGGGTACCTGCACCTGAGAGGGTTACCTGAAGTAAGGGGGTCTGCAGCATGTGAGCCGGTCCCAACCAGTGGCGCTGTTTCAAGTGGAAGGTGCGAAAGCGCATGCAAACACGAGATGCAAGCAAAGTACACAAGACATGGCGAGGCAGGCAAGGGGTTGAGGGAACTTAGCTGGCAGATGGAGAACGTTCGAGGGAGCTGTTGCCTCGTCCCTGCTCCCCTCCCCTCCTCCTCCAGTGTGCGTCTCCTGTTGAATGCCAAGTGACCTGGTAGGGGCAGCAGACAGGGGGGGAAGTAACAGTGGTTGAGTTGGCATGACCAGGAAAAGCAACAACAGCTGCGGCTAAAAGAAATGCGAAGGCGAAATTGAGGTGCAGAAAGGGAGAGCGACGAGGGCAAGAGGGGAGGTGACGTACCTTGAGAGGCCAAGCCCACCCCGATACTCTCCCTTGGTGCAGCGATTGGCAGTGCTGCCTCCCTCCCATCCCCACGGGTACCTGCACGGCCACAGGGGAGGGGCGTGGGGAAGCGTCAGTGTTGACCCCCGCCCCTCCCCTCCACCTGCAAGGCACACACGCAGAGCTGGTCAGTGGGCAGCGAGGGGATGAATGGTGAAAGTGCAAGAGAGGGAACGGCACTTGCAAGGCGGGAGAGGGGAGGGGCCACTGGTGGAGGCCAAGTCACAAACTGCAGACCCAAGGGCTGCACCTGAGGGGGTACCTGCACACCTGCACCTGAGGGGGTACCTGCACCTGAGAGGGTTACCTGAAGTAAGGGGGTCTGCAGCATGTGAGCCGGTCCCAACCAGTGGCGCTGTTTCAAGGGGAAGGTGCGAAAGCGCATGCAAACACGAGATGCAAGCAAAGTACACAAGACATGGCGAGGCAGGCAAGGGGTTGAGGGAACTTAGCTGTAAGGCGTGAGAGCGAGCAGAGGGCAGCTGCAGCAGCACCACGTGACTCCTTCCCCGGCAGCCCTCCTCCCAGCCTTCCCGTGTGCGTCCCTCCCTGCACGGCCACCGGGGAGAGGCGTGAGGGAATGGCGGTGCTGACCCCACACCCCTCCCCTCCACCTGCAAGGCACACACGCAGAGCTGGTGAGTAGGCAGTGAGGGGGTGCAAGAGCAGAGCATGTAAGGCAAATGGGAGGAGAGGGGCCAATGGTTGAGGCACTAGCACAAGGCACAGACCCCCAAGGGGACCTGAGGGGCTCTAGGACTGTAGGGGGCTGAACCTGAACCTGAACCTGAGGGGTTTACCTGAAGAAGCAAGGGCGAGGTCTGTGGCTTGCGAGTCGTGCCTCAATCAGTGGCAAGATTTGACAGAATGGAAAGAATGAATGAAGAAGCAGAACTGACATCAACCGAAAGCACTTGAGAGTCAAGGTTGAAGGAGGCGAGTGACTTAGCTGAAAGTTGGAGCAGTGGTGGTGCAGGCGGAGGGGGTGCGTTGATGCAGAGTGGGCGTGGCGAGGGGGGGTTGAAAGAATGGACCTGCGAGGCAGAGGAGGGGGGAGAGAGAGAGTGAGTGGCAGGCAGGCGGGAGGGAGCGGGCGTTGCAAGTGAGAAGAGCGCCTGGCAGCAGTGCAAGTGCAGAAACGACGGTGCATGTGATGCCGCCCACAGCCCCACATGCGCCACTACCAACCTGCACCTGAACCTGAACCTGCACCTGAACCTGAACCTGAACCTGAACCTGAACCTGAGGGGGAGCGGGCTCATGTGGAGTGTGGTGGCGGGCGATACTGCAACCTCGACTCGACCGTTGATGGGGCCGGCGCTGCTGCCCTCCCTCCTGCTGCCGCCTTGGCCCTCCCGCTGCTTGCTGCTCGCCTGCTGCTCTCCCATTGGCTTGTGCAGGCCTGGCAGGCAGGGAGGGCAGGGAGGGCAGGGCGGGGAGGAGAAGGGAGAGAGAGAGCGTGAGTGGGAGGCATGCGGGAAAGAGCGTTAGCAACTGAAGAGAGCGATGGGCAGATGTGCATCAGCAGAAAAGACGGTGCATGTGATGCCACTCACAACCCCACAAGAGCCACTACCAACCTGCACCTGCACCTGCACCTGAACCTGAACCTGAGGGGGAGCGGGCTCATGTGGAGTGTGGTGGCGGGGCGATACTTGCAACCTCGACCGTTGATGCGGCTCTGCCCTCCCTCCAGCTGCCGCCTTGGCCCTCCCGTTGCTTGCTGCTCGCCTGCTGCTCTCCCCTTGGCTTGTGCAGGCCTGGCAGGCAGGGAGGGCAGGGAGGGCAGGGCGGGGAAGAATGAGGCAAAACGGGAGATTTGCTCATGTGTGTATGGTGGGGAAATGGAGAGTGTCGAGTGTGATGGGGATTGGCGATAACAGCAGAGGCTGAACATAAATAGCGGCAAGGAAATGGAAGGAGGGGCCACTGATGGAGGCACAACCACAAGCCACAGACCCCCAAGGCAACCTGAAGGCTGTATGAAATGAACTTAGGGGGGCTGAACTTGAACCTGAACCTGAGGGGTTTACCTGCACTAAGGGGGATGGGATCTGTGGCTTGTGAATTCTGCCCCCACGAATGGCCAGATTTGGACGGAGGAAGTATGTAGCCCAGTGTGTGAACATGGAACAGAGTGGCGCGGCATTTCAGGCGAGGGATACAAGGAACTTAGCTTTCAAGTCGAGTCTTCACTGCAGCCTGCTTGCTGCTGCCTCCTGCCTGCTTCCTGATTCCTGCTGCCTCCTGCTTTCCCAGTAGCCTGCCAGGGAGGGAAAAGGGATGGGGGGTGGAGAAGGGCGAAGAGGAGGCGGATACGAGGGGGGGGGGGAGGGTGGGAAGGTTATGGCAGATAAGATCTAGCCTAACCGCCGGCCTAGACAGAACGCTACACACGCAGCAACGAGACAGGATGACACGATTTCCCTAATAAGCATGAGTCAATGGACTGCAGATGGGACGGAAGAAGCGGTGGAGTGCTTACCTGACGAGGACGCGGTGACGTGAGCGCGAGCGAATGTGTGAGGTGGGGCATGCAGCACGGCGCTGCGAGATTAACCCATCTCGGCCAGAGGCGAGCGCGACGTGCCATTCGTCGCGCGCATGCGCTCACGCCGTCGCGCAGCTCCCGCAGCAGCGCGCGCGGCTTGCACGCTCGCTCGTTCGCGAGTTGCACTGCACACCCACTCGCGACGAATGCGCATCGCCGAACGCGCGCCCAACGCCGCGCCTGCCATACCACGCGAAACACGCGGCCATTTCGGAAGGTGAGCATGCGGAAATACGCGACAGAAACCATGAATACGCTAATCTGCGCGAAACGATCAGCAACGAGTCGATCGAAGGGAAACTGCGCGGACTAACCTGGTCGTCTTCACCGCATTAGCGTCACTGCACGTCGCCGATTGGAATCGCTGCCTGGCAAGAGCTAGCCGCCTGCGACGAGACGACTCGTGAAGGGGCTTGACGAACTGTCGCCAGCGTTGAGCATCGTCGCCGGCGAGAAGAAATGCGACCAGCGTTGAACATCGTCGCCCGCAAGAATCTATATAGTCGGAAAGGGATCGTCGCAACGAGAAGGATCGCCGCCACCGTCGAATATCGTCGCCAGGGAGGGGAATCAAACAGATTGAGGAATCCTCGCGCAAATTCGCGACGAGAAGAATTGTGACTATCGTTGAATATCGTCGCCGGCAAGTGCTTCATATCCGGAACGGAATATTGTAGTCACACGAGTGAAGAACCATCGCCGACAAAGCGTTCGCGCAGCGAAAAGAGTTGTGAAAAGCGTTCAAAGAGAGTCTCTGGATGCACTGCTTGATGTCTGTGCGATAACGACATTGAAAATGTGAAGGAATGCGTGGAATTGGTTGCGACATTGAGCAATGCATGGGTTGGATTGGGTTGGCTTGGGGACAGACGGTTGGGGAGAAGTGGAGAGTGTGGGGCTCGAGGGGAGAAGCGGAGAGTGGAGTTGCGCGGTTGGTGGATGCAGGTTGGGCTGAACCAGCCGCTGCGCTTGCCTGTTGGCCTCCGTTCACTTCTGCCCAAATCAGGCCCTACGGCTTTCCTCCGCCGCTCCCCCCTTTGTACCCAAAACCAGGAGAGAATTACCGCGGCACGGGCTTTGGCTCCGTGAATTTTTTATATCGCGCTTCATTTTTTTGAAAACCCGAAAGGCGATCCCTCCACCTTTCATCACGCGGTTTCGCGCACGCGTCAGTTTGGCATGGATATAGCGAGTGTAGATGTCAGTGTAGGGTCAGCTGGAAAGTTTCTTCGTATAGTACAATAGAACATCTCCAACAATATTGGGACCGAACCACCAAGCCCGTCGATTCCAAACCTACGTGGAAATTGTTCATGCAGGCTCGTTGTTCCTTCCAGGTTCCTGAACGTAACAAAAGCCGCAGTGCGAACATGGTAAAGAACCAGTCAGTCACGGCGTGAACATAAGTCTGGAACACTAGACACGTCAGGCTTCAGCACCACCAAAGCCACCTCAGACGCTACCAACGGAACCAATCATGATGTCGCACGTAACTAAATCAATAAAAATTCGGTGTTAATAGCAAGAAGTGTCGATATACGCAGAGCACTACGTTCCGTTAAGGATTGAATGATGGATAGAACAGTTAAAACTGCATATGACATAATCTTTGTAACAGTTGTTAAACAGTGAGTTGTATAATAGTATATGGTAATAGCTTCTTTATTCAGAATTCCAATACGGTTTTGTATGTTCAGCTGTATACTCAAGTTTTTTTATAATTAAACAGCATAAGGGTAGGACTTTATCAAACATTTGATGTACAAATATCATGAGAAGATTTGAACAAGAATGAATGAACTATGAATGAAGTGAGTACATATAGGAAACCCTAATTGGGTTGTACCCCCTATGGGATACCCCACTATAGCCTACACAATAGCATAAGCTATATATATGTTCTGACACACCCCCATAGGCAAAGTGGGGGAGAACAAGGGGTCACAAGACCAGTCACGCAAAGCACAGCAAGCTCAGGGTGGATCACAAAGTCACCACACAGTCCGAGCACAACGACAAGGCCACAAGGCCAGTTCACATGCAGGAGTGCACATATATATATAGAGCTAGACAAGCAAGAGCAGGTATATATATGTGACAGTACAAGCAAGGTCAAGAGGAGAGCAAGTGAGGCAAGACAGGTACAAGACCCAGCTGAGTGCAGAAGCGCTGATGATCACAAGGCGCAAGTGCCTTGGTGAACACATCAGCAGTGTTGGCCTCAGAGGCCACGTACGCAAGTCGCAACTGACCACGCTGCTGCAGCTCACGAGCAAGAAAGTAACGGAGAGCAATGTGCTTCGTTCTGTGCTCCAAGCGATGCTCTCGACACAAGGCCAGCATGGCCTTGTTATCTACGTACAGCACTGGAGGAGAACGAGGCGGCTCTCCAAGGTCAGTCTGCAGGTAGGTGAGCCAGCGAAGCTCCTGTGCAGCCATGGCCCCGGCGTAGATCTCAGCCTCACAACTGGAGCCGAGAACAGAGGACGAGCGAGTAGCCCGCCACGAGACAGAGCCGGAACCAAGACTGAAGGTGTAACCCTGCGACGACCGCTGCGTAGCCTGGTCGTCAGCCCAAGAAGCGTCCGCGTGCCCAGTGAGGACCACTGGACTCCGCCCTCCAAGCACTAGCCCCATGCCCGACGTACTGCACAAGTAGCGCAACACCCTCTTCGCTGCAGCCATGTGCTCTGGTCGGTGTCTCCCAGGAGCAACATAGCGTGCAAGAATGCTAAGAGGGTATGCAAGGTCAGGTCGTGTGCAGGTCATCAGGTACATGAGGCAGCCAACAAGCTCTGGGTACGGGCCACTCGACTCTACGGACTCATCCGAAGGCAGAGCAAAGAGCGAGTGGCGAGTAAGCAGAGGAGTGGCCTGAGGCGAGGAGTACGTGAAGCCGAAGCGCTGAAGGACCTGCTGCACCATGTGTGACTGAGTCAAGGTAATGGTGCGGCGTGCTCTGTCCCGAGTGATCTGCAAGCCAAGGTAGCTGCGCAGTTCACCCAGGTCTGTGCACGTGTGTCTCTTCTGCAGCTCGGACTTCACGTGGGCGAGTCCAGCAGTGTCAGCTGTGGCAAAGACCAAGTCGTCGACGTACACGAGGATGTAGAACGGCGGCAAAGAAGTGTCGGTGCGCAGAAACAACGACGGGTCAGCCGTAGAGGGAGCAAACCCAAGAGCCGCAAGCGTAGTCCTCAGTGTGTCGTGCCACTCACGCGGTGCCTGGCGGAGACCGTAGACTGGCCGTCGGAGGCTCCACTGGGTGCCAGTAGGGAAAGTCCCAGTGAAGCCAGGTGGACGGCGCAGCCAGATCTCCTCGTGCAGGCTACCCTGCAAGAAAGCAGTGCTGAAGTCAAGAGAGTGGAGCTCGTAGTCGCGCTGAGCGGCTATGTGCAGCAGCACCCGAAGAGTGGTCATCTTCGGGGTGGGAGAGAAGGTCTGAAAGTAGTCAACTCCCTGCCGCTGACTGAAGCCACGAGCGACGTACCGCGCCTTGAAGACAGGTGGAGAGCCCGGCGGCCGCTTCACCCTGAAGATCCACATGCCACTGACGATGTTCGCCCCAGGAGGGGGAACCGCGTCAACGTAGGTGCCTGTGGACTTCCAGGACGCCATCTCTGCATCCATAGCTGCCTGCCACTGAGAGGAGTAGGGACCCTCTACGGCCTCCGCGTAAGAGCGCGGAGTCGGGATGTCTAGTGCATCCGGGTCTCCCTCAGGGGCAAGTAGTACGGACGCGAGATGAGGTGAAGCAGCAGCCAGACACTGGAACTCCTCCTGCCTGTCCTCAAGGATGTCCGTGCCAAGAGCACACTCACCCCCGACGGACGGAGGACAGACAGACGCAGACTCAGCAACAAGACCGGCAGCGTAGTCTAGACGACAGCTAGCAGCAAAGTCGACGAGCTCAGCAACAAGAGCAGACGCAGCAGTGGACTCAAAAGAGGGGTCAGTGACGACAGTAGCAAGGAGACGTGTGACAGTAGGACTAGCAGCACGAAGAGAGTCGGACTCTGGGTCGGTAAGTGCAGGAAGGGAGGACTCAGGAGGAGAAGGCAAAGGGGCACGCAGAGGAGCAGTGGACGGACGCAAAGACATCCGGTGCGTGCCAGGGACAGGAGGAGGACGCTGACGCGAACCGCGACCACTAGCGCGAGCAGCACGAACAGGCGACGCAGGACGAGACGCAGGCTCACGACGCTCAGCAAGACCTCCAGTGGGACCAGTGTAAGGAGAGGGAGCAGGAAGTGGGGAGGCGGGCTCTAACTGGGACTGTGACTGAACAGGCTGTGGACACGCTGCAGGAGGAGAAAGACCAAGAACCTGCTGTAGGAGTGGAACGAAGTACGGCCGAGGCCGCGCGGCGACTCCAGACACAGCAGGGACAGCACCCTCAGCAGCAGCACCAGCGCCAACAGCACCTCCAGCTCCAGTACCTCCAGCAGCACCAGCAGTACCCGCAGCAGGACCACCGCCAGGAAGGACAGCAGCAGTCTCAGCACCAACACCCGCAGCAGCTCCAGCTCCAGGCGGACCCGAGGGCCCAGCAGCTCCGGGACCAGCGGCACAAGTACCCTCAGCAGCCGAAGGAGCTCCAGCTCCAGCAGTACGTCTCCAGCGGCGAGCAAACCACTCGCGCAGCTCATGTGGAGAGAGGGGCTCCCGCCGAGGCGAAGCACCCGGAGAACCGCCAGGTCCCGCACCGCCAGACGCCACAAGGGGAGGTCCAGTGGCCGCAGGCTCCGCAGCTCCAGGCTCAGTAGCTCCAGACGCAGCACCCCCTGGCTCAGCACCCCCAGTCACAGCACCCCCAGGCTCAGCACCCCCAGACTCAGCACCCCCAGGCTCAGCACCCCCTGGCTCAGCACCCACGCGCGTAGCACCCCCAGAGTCAGCACCCCCAGGCTCAGCACCCGCAGCAGGACCAGAGTCACCAGCAACCTCGACCGGCTCGACTGCGTCTACCTGGGACACACCTGAAGGGGCAGGACCCTGAGGGGGAAGGGGGTCTACCGGGGGGGGACCTGGCACAAGGAAGTGCGGTGGCGGGGGGAGGGAAGGAGTGCGGTAGGGGAAGAGGCGGTAGAAGGGGACTGACTCGTCGAACGTGACGTCCTGGGAGGACAGAACACGACGAGAGGAGGGGTGGTAGAACTGCCACCCTGGGGCGTCGGGGGGGAAGCCGAGGAAGACACAGGGAGCAGCACGA